TGATCAATAATTTGTAATACATTACTGAAGCAAAGATCCTTATCTTAACGATTTACAACAGTATATGATAAGATTCTAATCATATGTTACGTAATAAGGGGTCAAAAGGGGCCAGAATGCTAAATTTTTGAGGCTTTATATCTCGAAAAGGGGGATTATTTTGATAAGCAATACTGAACAAAAATATAGTCAGAATGATGTTCTAAACAATATACACCCTTTCAATTTTTGTCAAACGGCCCCATTAAGGACTTGGAGAGGTGGCCCCTAAATATTTCAATTCAGCATATCTCAACAACGAAAAGAAATCTCTGAATAGTTGTTGAATAAAAAGTCTTCAAAATCACAAGTCCTTTCATTTGATATCAAGAGAAAGGGGTTGATTCCTCAAATTAGGGGCTCAGAGGGGCCAAAACTATTTCATCTATAACTCTTTAACGATTAATAATTTGATATACATTACTGAAGCAAAGATGCTTATCTTTACAACAATATATGATAAGATTCTGATCATAATTTACGTAATAAAGGGTCAAAAGGGGCCAGAATGCTAAATCTTTGATGCTTTATATTTCGAAAAGGGGGAATATTTTGATAAGCAATACTGAACAAAAGATGTTCAGAATAATGTTCTAAACAATATGCACCCTTTCAATTTTTGTCAAACGGCCCCATTAAGGACTTGGAGGGGTGGCCCCTAAATATTTCAATTCAGCAAATCTCCAAAACGAACAGAAATCTCTGAATAGTTGTTGAACAAAAAATCTTTAAAATCACAAGACCTTTTCTTTGATATCAAGGAAAAGGGGCTGACCCTTTTAATTAGGGGCTGAGAGGGGCCAAAAGCCTGTCATCTATAGCTCTTTGTTAATAATATATAAATCAAAAGAATGAAATCTAATATGGTAAGTCTATATATTATTATCTTTTAAGAAAGATTATAGTCAAAATCATATCTCATCTTATCGAAAAATTGGATGGAAGACCTACTCGTTGCTCGCAACGAGATCTCATCTAGTTATTATTATTTTTCTTCCTGGGTACTTTTTTGTCCGTGAGTGATCTCCGAAACTACACATCCGATTGAGGTGAAACCTTTTTAGGGTTAATAGGAATGTTATGTAGATTTGCGGAACGAAGGTCATTTTGCGCGCACGTGCATGCACGTGCGTGCGCGTGCAATGAGTTAAATGACCAATATACTTGATATAGCCATAACTTTCATATCTTTTGATGAAATACTTTGATACTCAGAATATAAGGATATATTAATAGTGTAGACAAGATGACATAGTCAGAATGCACATGCATGCACGTGCGCGTATGCGCATTGATTGAAATAACCAGTAAAATTGATATAGACTTAACATGTGCATTTTTTGATGAATTGCTTTGAAACTCTGAATATAAATACATATAAGAAGTGTAGACAAGAAGACTTGATCAGCGCACACATGCATGCACGTTCGTGCACGTGCGTGCGCGTGCAATGAGTAAAATGACCAATATACTTGATATAGCCATAACTTTCATATCTTTTGATGAAATGCTTTGATACTCAGGATATCTGGATATATTAAAAGTGTAGACAAGATGACATGGTCAGAATGCACATGCATGCACGTGTGCGCATGCGCAATGATTGAAATAACCAATACAAATAATATAGACTTAACTTGTACATTTTTTGATGAATTGCTTTGAAAGTCAGAACATAAATATATATTAGAAGTGTACACAAGATGACATGATCAGCGCACACATGCATGCACTTGCATGCACGTGCATGCGCGTGCAATGAGTAAAATGACCAATATACTTGATATAGCCAAAACTTTCATATCTTTTGATGAAATACTTTGATACTCAGAATATAAGGATATATTTATAGTGTAGACAAGATGATATGGTCAGCATGCACATGCATGCACGTGCGTAAGTGTGCAATGAGTTAAATTATCAATATAATTGATATAACCATAACTTTTACATTTTTTGATGTAATGCTTTGATACTCAGAATATATAGACATATTATAAATGTAGACGTCATTGTCAACATGCAGATGCATGCACGTGCGCGCACATGCAATGCTAAAATGACCAATATACTTGATATAGCTGTAACTTTTATACTTTCTGATGAAATGTTTTGATACTCAAAATATGTAAATATATTCATAGTGTTGATAAGATGACACGGTCATTATGGACATGCATGCACGTGCGCGCGCTTGCAATGCGTAAAAAGACAGATGTACTTAATATAGCCGATATTTTTTATCTTTTGATGAAATTTGAATATAAAGATGTATTAAAAGTGTAGACAAGTTGACATGGTCATTTTGTACATGCATGCCCGTGCGCGCGCATGTAATGCGTAAAAAAAAAAACCAATATACTTGATTGCCTTATTTAATGAAGCTTACAGGGAATGACACCAAAAGGAAGTTGGGGAGCGTTTGGGGAACATCTGTAACGGTCCCCGTTACAATTAATACTAGTTTACTCTAGTCTAAATACATGAAAAAAAGCTTCTGTCAATGAGTTTATATTCCCCGCAAACCAATGCCTTTTAACATATTTTATTCAGTTTAAGCAATGCAAAAACCTGTTGTTTTTTTTGTTTGTTTTTTTTTTAGCTCACCTGAGCCAAAGGCTCAAGTGAGCTTTTCTGATCAAAATTTGTCCGTTGTCTGTCGTCGTTGTCGTTGGCATAAACTTTTCACAATTTCAACTTCTTCTCCAGAACTACTGGGCCAATTTCAACCAAACTTGGCACAGAGTATCCTTGGGTGAAGGGGATTCAAGTTTGTTCAAATGAAGGGCCACGCCCTCTTTCAAGGGGAGATAATAAAGAATTTGTGAAAAATTAATAGCATTTTTTAAAAATCTTCTTCTCAAGAACCACAAAGCCAGGGAAATTGAAACTCATGTGGAAGCATCCTCAAGTAGTGCAGATTCAAATTTGTTCAAATCACGACCCCCGGGGGTAGGGCGGGGCCACAATGAAGGATCAAAGTTTAACATAGAAATATATAGGAAAAACCTTCAAAAATCTTCTTTTCAAGAACAGCAAAGCCATGATAAGTCATATTTATATGGAAGCATTCCCAGGTTGTGTAGATTCAAGTTTGTTCAAATTATGACCCCCGGGGTTAGGGCGGGGCCACAATGGAGGATCAAAGTTTTACATAGAAATATATAGGAAAAACCTTTAAAAATCTTCTTCTCAAGAACAGCAAAGCCCTAATTGGTCATATTTATATGGAAGCATCCTCAGGTAGTGGAGATTCAAATTTGACCAAATCATGACCCCGGGGGTAGGGCGGGGCCACAATGGAGGATCAAAGTTTTACATAGGAATATATAGGAAAAACCTTCAAAAATCTTCTTCTCAAGAACAGCAAAGCCCTAATTGGTCATATTTATATGGAAGCATCCTCAGGTAGTGTAGATTCAAGTTTGTTCAAATCATGACCCCAGGGATCGGGCGGGTCCACAATGGAGGATCAAAGTTTTACATAGAAATATATCAGAAAAACCTTCAAAAATCTTCTTTTCAAGAACAGCAAAGCCATGATAACTCATATTTATATGGAAGCATTCCCAGGTTGTGTAGATTCAAGTTTGTTCAAGTCATGACCCCCGGGGGTAGGGCGGGTCCACAATGGAGGATCAAAGTTTTACATAGAAATATATAGGAAAAACCTTTAAAAATCTTCTTCTCAAGAACAGCAAAGCCCTAATTGGTCATATTTATATGGAAGCATTCTCAGGTAGTGGAAATTCAAATTTGTCCAAATCATGACCCCCGGGTGTAGGGCGGGGCCACAATGGAGGATCAAAGTTTTACATAGAAATGTATAGGAAAAACCTTTAAAAATCTTCTTCTCAAGAACAGCAAAGCCCTAATTGGTCATATTTATATGGAAACATCCTCAGGTAGTGTAGATTCAAGTTTGTTCAAATCATGACCCCGGGGGATAGGGCGGGTCCACAATGGAGGATCAAAGTTTTACTTAGAAATATATAGGTTAAATCTTTAAAAAGCTTCTTCTCAGGAACAGCAAAGCCCTGATAGATCATATTTATGTGGAAGTATCCTCAGGTAGTGTAGATTTAAGTTTGTTCAAATCATGACCCCCGGGGGTAGGGCGGGACAACAATGGAGGATCAATGTCTGAAATAGAAATATATAGGAAGGTATCTTCTAATGAAGAGCTGCAAAGCCATGATTAGTCATTTTGATATGGAAGCATCCTCAGGTAGTGTAGATTCTAGATTGTTAAAATGATGACCCCCGGGGATAGGGATGAGCCACAATGGGGGATCAAAAATTTTTTACATAGGAACATATTGGAAAATATCTTCTTCTCAAGAAATGAAAATCATGTTTAGTCATTTTGATATGGAAGCATCCTCAGGTAGTGTAAATTCAATTTTTTTTCCAAATGATAACCCCCAGGGGTAGGGAGGGGCCCAATGGGGATCAAAAGTTTTACATAAGAACACATAGAAAAAATATTTCTTCTCAAGAACAGAAAAGCTATGTTTAGTCATATTGATATGGAAGCATCCTAGGGTAGTGTAGATTCAAGTTTGTTCAAATGATGACCTCTGGGATAGGGAGGAGCCACAATTGGGGATCAAAATATTACAAAGGAATGTATGAGAAATTTTTTTTTAAAATCTTCTCAAGTACAACAAAGCCATTTGTTATATTGACATGGAAGTGTCATCAGGTAGTTTAGAATTCAACCCCCCCCCCCCCCCCCAACCTCCAGTAATCTTTTCAATACTGAACTGATTTGTGTCTAGCTAATGTGCTCAGGTGAGCGATGTGGCCCATGGACCTCTCGTTTTAAATAATCCACATACATACTATTCTTGCTTCTTATTAAAAAATTACACCTTTGTGTCACTGTAGTAAATGAAATATAACAAAATTCCTCCTTTATTCAATGCCTATGTCAGATAAATGTACCTGTATACTTATAGAAAACATGACACACAGGACTCTGGTTCCATCTACAGAACAAGGAAATCAGGTAAGCAAGAAATAAAATTGTCAAACTAAAAATGTTAATCAATGGAAGGATGCACATCTTCTGTCCAGTGACTTTTAAAGGTTTACATTCTGAGCTATTCTTTAATAAACTCCTGTTACAAAGACTTTCTATCATGTTTGAAATAAAAGCTAAATGAGCATAAAAAGTTATGAAATATTCTCATGACCATGTATACCAAAATGTTACAAAATTAAACTGGCACAATAACTATTGTTATCTTTTTGAATGAAAGCAATCGGAGAAAAAAAAAATCTTTTGACGTTTTAACATTTCAGATGTGATTACAACAAGAGAATCGGAAGAAAAAGAAGACATGTCACTGCAGCTAGAGGGTATAAGTGGAATAAGACTTTCTTATATATTTGTTCTTCATATTAAAACCTCAGCACTAGTACATCAGATTCCCACCGTTGATTACGCTTCATTTCTTTCTTTCAATTACCTGTTGTTCAGTTCGTACCAATTCTCTCATTCTAATGAATACTGTAGATCACCAAATTTTCGTGACACCTTATTTTTGCAAGAAAGGTATTGGGTGTTCATAAGCGAGACAAAATTTTCACGAATTCTGGTATAGGTATATATAATGTATACTAATAAAAATATACGCGAGAATAAAATTTTGGCCAGCAGACCAACTTGCATAATTACACAAAAATAAAGTTCTCCCGAATAAAAAGTGATTTACAGTAATGTTTAAATTTACTGTCTGATCAAATTAATTGTAGTTTGAACTGTTCTGTTACTTGCTATTAAAACAATATGACTCTGCCCAGAAATTGTTCCAGTTGTAATATTGCAAAAATACATGTCTGATAGTCAGACATATTCCTGTCCTCAAACACAGGTCAGGAATAACACGGGGATGTCTTAAAGCTCATGTGCTTCCAGACTAAAAAATGTTTATCCATAACATGTGCCAACAAGCTCAGCCATGTTCAAATGTGTACCAAGAGTGTGTTGAAAGAAAATTTTGATTGGACAAATATCTTTCAGTCATTCTACAGAAACCAATCAAAGTGCTTCATTCTTGAGAACGAGAGAATTGATATGAATGGACCCTACAGTGATAAAAAAAATGAAATGTAATCAACTGCAGGTTTCCAAAGGTGTCTCTGGAAGTGTTCCTTCTCTACTGCATGGCTAGACAAATAGCATTGCATTGCCCGACACCCGGGACAACCAATTTTGTTTGGCGGGCAAGTTATTTGATAACTGGTACCTGCCCTCGGATAAGTGCTTTTCCAGTTAACAAAAAATAATACTCAAATGTTGTTTTGTTTTACCGCTGTTAAAATATAATGAATCACAGCAGAGTACTAGCATCAGTTTTCGATGCAGTTGACCACTACATGGAATACTTGGTAGAACTCCTCTAGAATTATCCATTCATGTCTGATAAAATATACATGAGAAGTAAAGCATGGCAAGTATCGATGTCATGTCGAAAAGTTGAAGAGGATTTTGGACCTTTTTATTGTCATAATGTAAAATTTATGCCATGAATACACATGATACAAACACATGTTGCTGTTATTAAATTGGAGGTGTTGACTGGCGAACACACACAGTCAAACCCTTAATTTACATTCAGGAGTGTTTATCGTAATAAAAATATGTTGATAGAGGTGTATTGTTTTCATTTAAAAAATACAGAGAAATGTATAAGTACATGTTCATGTATATACATTGACATGTACATGTATTTAAAATTCTAAGTTTAATAATCAATGCACAGCACAGATACTAGGAAGTCTCCTTAGAATTAGAAATTTTCCCCTTAATTTCTCCATGGAAGAGTTAAGCGATTGCGGGTCAAGGTTGGTCCTTAATGTAATGATAATGTTTTAATTTCGTGTTATTTAAGAAAAAGGTGGGACAAGCATATTTTTTGGTAGGACAAGTAATTTTATGATGGTAACCTGTCTGAGGGCAAGTTCTGAAAAATTCTATTCTTCTAACCCTGCTACTGAAAGATGGTCAATGTATGAAGATAGCATATTGTTTCTTGGGCTTAAATAATCACAAGAGGCATTCATTGTTGATATTGCACTTCTTTGGCAAATTTTAGATACTGCTTGACAAGAATGACCTTGTTTGCTTTTGACAGTTGAAGAAGCAGTTGATTCTGTTGATGATGATTCCAGTTGTGACAGTGACCTTGACCTTCAAAGTGAAGAGGTCGGTATTTAGATATGTTTGTAAACCCATATGGACGGATATTTTGTAATTTATCTGCTTTACACGTTAGTTACAACTTAAAAGACCATCTAAACACCAATGAAACATATTTTTGGGACATTGAGGAAATTTTGTCAAGTAAAGGTTATAATATAGGGCCAAAATAAAAAATACCTTTGTTTCCCCTAATGCGGCCGACCCAATTAAATCCGGCCGACTGAAAAGTTTTTTTAAAGAAGATTATTCAAATATTATTTTTTTTAAAAGTTTATCAACTTTTATAAAATACAATTTCATCAAAACCCATTCTTATGAGAAAATCAGAATGTATTTTCAAAGCTGCTGTCAGGAAAAAAAATTATTTACCTACCTACCTACCCAACTGCAGATTTTATGGTCGGGTTTGGAGAAACAAAGATATTTTTAATGATGGCCTAGAGTTTATCTTTTTGTGTCACCTGCAGAGCAGAGCGACACTTAGGAATCACTTTATCCAGCGTCTGTTTGTCTGTCCATCCGTCTGTCACACCCTATATCTTGAGAACTGTATAAAATCTAGATATTTTGCACATATATTTTATATATACATGTATTTGGCTTCTGTAAAATACCATGGTTACAGACCATGTGACATTTGAACTCACCCTTTGACATACTTTCCAAAATAGAAAATTGTGCAGATATGTAGCATAAATTTGACATTTTTGAAAGGGGTAAATTTATGCTATTTAGCATTTGTACTGTTTGACATAAAACTTCATGAAAATAACCAGAGTTAAAATCTATTTGATCTTGACCTTTGACCTACATGTACTTTTCAAAAATACTCAAGACAGTTGATTTAACTTGTCAGTGAATCTCTTTTGATTTTGTGTGGCAGGGTTTTAGTGTTATTAATGTTTATAGTTCATGTCTATGAGGTCATGACAATGTTTTTTGAAACTATGCTATACAGTAACGGCACAAACTGAAATTTAAATGCTATGAAAATACTTCAGGATCAGAATACCAAAAGGATCGTTGTAGACTAATAATATTGTCGTAAACTTAAGTAAGACTGAAATCTCATTTGTAGGATAGTTGGATTAAACACATATTTATCATGTTTTAAAATGAAATATAAATATTTCTAATATGTAATTTCAATTTTATTATTCAGTCTAGCAAGCTTTGAAGATATCATATTTTGATTTCAATGTCAGATTTTATATGATAAAGCTATTCTATAGGTCTAAATATTTGTGAATTTCTCTCTTTTTTTTTTTGCTATTATAAATCATAATAATGCTTGTAGCAAAAAAAAAAAAAAAAAAAAAAAAAAAAATTCTATAATTAATTTATTGTTATCTTTAAAGATGGTATAAAGCATGTGACACATGTGTTCCTTGGAACACTCTAGTTTATAGACTGTATAACATAATGTCAGCTATTAAATTGCTTACTTAAATGAGGAAAATATTTGTATATAAATTTATCTTGCCATAGCGTAATAAAATGTTAAAGGGCAGATTACTCTTACTGCATAAGAATACCACAGAATTAGAACTCTTCAGTCTGCAGTATATATTGGGGTGTTGTCTTTAATTCTGGACATTTTTTTCCCTCGGTTTTTGATTATAATGTAGTTTTTCATAATTTTTTTTACTCAAATTGTTTTTCCAGCACATCACAAATATTCCATCCATTCCAATGGATAGATTTAAAAAATATGTATATATTGAATGTATTTTATCGGTGTTAAAATAATTATTTTTTCCCCCAGGAAATTGAAGTCAAAGAAGAACCAATATACACCATAGATAACAACTCACAAAATCCTGGATCCGCCCAACAAGCAGAAAACAGAGTCCCTCATACAAACCAGGAATCAGTGATTTCAGGGGGAGATAACCTCTTCCACACATCCACAGTAGTGAAACAAGAACCTGTTGATAGTTATTCAGATGTTATGAATACTGCAGTGACAAATGTGAATTCCAGTGCTTCTTTCAAACTGGCATCTTCTGGAGCCCTAAGTATACCTCCATCTGTGACAAGTGACCCAGCTATGAGAAGTTCATTCACATCTTCAAATATTGATGGAAGTCCATCAACTCATTTTCAGAACTCAGTGGGTTCTCTTCAAGTGATAGGAAATCAAACTGTAAACACAAAGACTAGTGTAAATGTGGCTCAAACACCACTACTATCCACACTGATAACAAAACGGACTCTAAACTCAGGTACAATAGAAGCAAATCAAGTTCAAAGGTCACTACCTCTCAGATTAAACTCTGCACAGGGTGTAATAAATGTAAATCCACAGACTGACTTATCTAGCTCAGGGCAAAGAGGAAGTACCTTGTACATACAAAGAGGGAACACTCCAAACTCAGTTCTAGTCCGTCCCCAGAATTCTGGGTTATTCCAACCAGCGACACTTAATCTGCTCACTACATCAGAGATACAAAGTTCTCCTGGAAGAGAGGGTTTCAGAGTCCTACCAAATTTAGGTCAACCTTCCTTTATTCCTTGTCAACCTGTATTCACCTCCCCTGCTTCAGCATTTTCATTGATAAAAGGAGGACAAGAGACTTCATCTGCATCAAGTAAAACATTAATAAAAAAAGAACAGCAGACTTCCCCTGCATCAGGTGTGATATTTGTAAATGGAAGACAGCATGTTTCACCTTCTAAAAATGTGACATTGATAACAGGAGGGCAGCAAATTTTACCTGCTTCAGGTGTGATAAAAGGAGGACATCAAGCTTCACCTGTCTCAGGTGTAGGAGGACAGCATATTTCACCTGCTTCAGGTGTGACATTGATAAAAGGAGGACAACAAGCTGCACCTGTCTCAGGTGTAGGAGGACAGCATGTTTCACCTGCTTCAGGTGTGACATTGATAAAAGGAGGACAACAAGCTGCACCTGTCTCAGGTGTAGGAGGACAGCATGTTTCACCTGCTTCAGGTGTGACATTGATAAAAGGAGGACAGCAAGCTTCACCTGTCTCAGGTGTAGGAGGACAGCATGTTTCACCTGCTTCAGGTGTGACATTGATAAAAGGAGGACAACAAGCTTCACCTGTCTCAGGTGTAGGAGGACAGCAAGCTTCACCTGTCTCAGGTGTAGGAGGACAGCATATTTCACCTGCTTCAGGTGTGACATTGATAAAAGGAGGACAGCAAGCTTCACCTGTCTCAGGTGTAGGAGGACATCAAGCTTCACCTGTCTCAGGTGTAGGAGGACAGCATATTTCACCTGCTTCAGGTGTGACATTGATAAAAGGAGGACAGCAAGCTTCACCTGTCTCAGGTGTAGGAGGACATCAAGCTTCACCTGTCTCAGGTGTAGGAGGACAGCATATTTCACCTGCTTCAGGTGTGACATTGATAAAAGGAGGACAACAAGCTTCACCTGTCTCAGGTGTAGGAGGACATCAAGCTGCACCTGTCTCAGGTGTAGGAGGACAGCATGTTTCACCTGCTTCAGGTGTGACATTGATAAAAGGAGGACAACAAGCTGCACCTGTCTCAGGTGTAGGAGGACAGCATATTTCACCTGCCTCATGCCTTTTATTGTTAACAGGAGACCAGCAGGCTTCACCTTCCCCAGGCATTCTAATAATAAAGGGAGAAGAGCAGACTTCATCGTGTTCATTTGGTTTGGATTCACAAACTGGACTTCAGCAGGTGGAAAATGGTCAAGAACAAATAGAAAAGGTATAGAACACGTAGAAAAGGTCAAGAACAAATAGAAAAGGTATAGAACACGTAGAAAAGGTCAAGAACAAATAGAAAAGGTATAGAACATGTAGAAAAGGTCAAGAACATGTAGAAAAGGTCAAGAACAAATAGAAAAGGTATAGAACACGTAGAAAAGGTATGGAACAAATTGAAAAGGTGTGGAACAAGTAGAAAGGGTATAGAACAATTAGAAAAGGTCAAGAACAAATAGAAAAGGTCAAGAACAAATAGAAAATGTATAGAACAGTATACCGGTAGACAAGACTCTAGTACATGCCAGTCCATCAATACTGTGTTACATGTAGTACTATAAACCAACTATCATTCGCGTCATCTTTTATTTGCAATTTGTCAGTTTGAAATCAATCTGCGATGATTAATTTTTTTGATTTAGGAAACATTCTCTACAAATACAAAGCAAAATAAATGGTTTGTTGCAATTATCGGTAACATGATTAATATTCGTGAGTTTAAGAAGATTGCAAAACTCGTGGATATTATTTGCACACGAATAAAAGTTGGTTTACAGTACTCTGTCAGACAAAAGTAAGTTCCGAAGGCCATGGAAAAAAATATGTTTGTTTCTGATCTCCTGACTGACACTTATTTATAGGACTGACTGACACTCTAATTTTTTATCAACCCTTTTCAGTGATGATTTGAATTTTTCCATTTTTTCTGAATCATAAAAATTTCTACTATAAATTTGACTAACAGAAATGCTCTAAAGTACTATTTTTTGTTATCAGTGTTACTGTGGAATCATTTTTAGCTCACCTGAGCTGAAGGTTCAAATGAGATTTTCTGATGGAAATTTGTCCGTTGTCTGTTGTTATCTTTGTAAACTTTTCACAATTTCATCTTCTTCTCTAGAACTACTGGGCCAATTTTAACCAAACTTGGCACAGACTATTCTTGGGTAAAGGGGATTCAAATTTGTTCAAATGAAGGGCCATGCCCTCTTCAAAGGGGAGATTATTACAAATTAGTGAAAAATAAATGGCATCTTTTAAAAATCTTCTTCTCAAGATCCACTGGGCCAGGAAAGATGAAACTCATGTGAAATCATCCCCAGGAAGTGTAGATTCAAGTTTGTCAAATCATGACCCCTGGGGGTAGGGTGGGACCACAATGGATGATCAAAGTTTTACTTAGGAATATATAGGAAAACTCTTTAGAAATCTTCTTCTCAAGAACAGCAAAGCCGTGATTGGTCATATTTATATGGAAGCATCCTCAGGTAGTGTAGATTAAGGTTTGTTCAAATCATGACCCACAGGGTAGGGTGGGGCTACAATGGATGATCAAAGTTTTGCATAGGAGTTTGTAGGAATTTAAAAAAAACCTTCTTCTCAAGAACAACAAAGCCATGATTGGTCATATTTATATGGAAGCATCTACAAGTGGTGTAGATTCAAATCATGACCCCTGAGGGTAAGGTGGGGCCACAATGGACGATCAAAGTTTTACATAGGAGTTTGTAGGAATTTTTTTTTAAATCTTCTTCTCAAGAACAGCAAAGCCATGATTGGTCATATTTATATGGAAGCATCCTCAGATAGTGTAGATTCAGAGTTGTTCAAACCATGACCCCCGGGGGTAGGGTGGGACCATAATGAAAGTTCAAACTTGTTGGAAAAAAGTCACAGTTAGACAAAGAAATATGTACTAAGCATCTTTAGTTAGTGTAGATTCAATTTTGTTCAAATCATTTCCCCCATCCCCCTTTAAGGGGTAGGTCGGGACCACTTATGCATCAAAGCTTTTCAATACTGAACTGATTTTCATTTATTTCCTAGCCACAGTGCTCAGGGAGCAATGTGGCCCATGGGCCTTTTGTAATTCATGGGGGTCAATATTCATTGGCAAGCAAAATTTTACTGAGATAATTTCATTGGGCTACTCGTTTATACGATAGATTTAATGAATTAGTATGTTTACAAAATAAATGTTTGTGGAGATGTAAATTTGTGAGTAAGGGTGACCCACGTAATTCACTAACATTGGACCCCCAAGAACTATGATGATTCCACAGTAGATCCTTTTTTGTGGTATTGCAACGTACATAACATCTTACCAGCTTGGGCTAGTTGGTTAACCTTTTAGCTAAATTGATAGAGCACTGGACTGGCATGCTAGAAGTCTTGGGTTCAATCCCAAAGGAGTCACAAACCTGTCTGTTCAATTTTGTTTAAAGAATTCCAGAAAAAAAATCAAAAGAAATAAAAATTGCCTACTTAAACCTTATTTTTTCCTAATTAAAATTAGAAACTTTTTTAGGCCTTAAATGGATATACATATGTAAACATAATTTCAGAGAGAAAATCTGCCTAGTTCAAAGGAATCCAAATCAAACATGTCTACAATTCCCCCCGAAAAGCCTCACAGTTCTTACATGCAGTGGTTGAATGCCAACAGGGAGGAAATAAAGAAGCAGAACCCAGAACTGGGCTTCATAGATTTCAGTAAAAAAGCAGGAGAAATGTGGAATGCCCTGGAAGATAAAACGGTAAGTTTATAATGATCGAGTTAAAAGATGATCTGTCAGGGTTCGACACTAACGTTAGTCCGTTAGTCTCAGACTAATACATTTTCATTCTGACTAAGAAAATATGTGGCTAACTAGTCTGAATGGACCAATAAAAATTTATGAAAAACAATATGAATAAATTACCGATGTCCAATTCTCGACAACTTTTACTGAAAAACCCCGCGTGCATTTTTAGATTTCTAGCTTTTGGCGGGTAGTTACGCGATGCCGGGTCAATTCAGCGCTTAATTTTTTGACTGATCGATATGAAGTATAAGGTTTTAGCGAACATGATTTAGTATGACACTTTTAAGAAGTTGGACATTTTGGATGTAATGTAAAGACAAAAAAAAAAAAAAAAAAACGAGATCGGGAATACGATCGTACTTGCTGATTGCGAGATTTCAATGAATCTGTGGAATAATATATTTCACGTAAATACTTTGTTTATTTCAAAAAATAATACGTATATTAATTATCACGTTAATTTAATGTTAAAAAACATTGATGCTTCTTTTTTTTGACGGACTAATAAAATCGCGTGCATACTAGTAAAAGTAATGAAGCACTAGTCCAACTGGACTAAAGCCTTAAAGAGTTAGTGTCGAACCCTGTCTATTTAAGAGGATGGTAAACAAATTAAAGAATATTCTACTACTGCTATTGTCAAAATAGAGAAAAAAAACAGTGGACATTACTCTCCAGTAAATTAAAAACATTATGAGAAGAAAAACATATCAATCCTGTACTAATAGTTACTTATGCCTGCTACCTCATTTGGGGCAAAGGTCACCAGCAAGCTTCCTCCAGTCATTATTATACCCCCTGCTTGACAGCGGGGATTTACAGTGATAGGGGTCTCCATCCATACTTCCATACATTACGCTTGGGGGTTTCCATCTTGTTTTCTCTGTCTTTCATTTTATAATCTTAAAAACAAATTAACTCATGATTTAATAATAATCTAATTTGTACCCTTATAGTGCACACAAACAGTTGCATTTCTGACCTATATTGGAATAAAGTTGAAGTAAATGGGGCTGTTGCAGGATAACCTTCTTGACCTCAGAATGTTGTTTGAAACTTAAAAGCTTTATACTATTATTTGACCTTGGAATTGTCCAGCAACATCCATAGAGACACAGACTTATATCCTAAAGATAGCAAAAATAAGTCTGATGAATTTGTAAGAACACAGTTTTCATGTTACATTAAAGCATGCACATAATAAAGTACCAGGGATGGAAGATTTTGCTTCGTTATAAATGTAATTCATTATATCCATTAAGTTCACAATATATTTGAAAGCCACAGGGAATGAAGATCACTACTGTTAGCATCCATTTATTATAGGCATGTTGGCTATAAACATGAGTTACTGTACTCATTTGATTTTAATAGGAATGGGATAAGAAAGCTGCAGAAGAAAGGAGAGCATATGACAAGGTCATGGAGGATTACATAACTCAGCAGGCTGGGTCTACAGAAGAAGAGAAGGAATCGTCAGAGGACTGGGAATCAGTTTTATCACTAAGGTAAGTTACTCAGTTAATCAGGGAAATCACTAAAGAAAGTCACTTGGTTAATCTGGAGTCACAAAATAAGTTACTCTCATTTAATCTAGGAAATCATTAAAGTAAGTTAATCTGGGAAATCACTTATATAAGTCTTTCACTTATTCTGGGAAATCACTAGTGTAAGTCACTCAGATATCTCTGGGAAATCACTAAAGCAAGTCACTCATTTGATTTGGGAAATCACTAAAGTTAGACCATCAGTTAATCTGGGAAATCACTATCTTAAGTCACTCATTTAATCTGAGAAATCACAAATGTAAGACACTCAGTTCATCTGGGAAATCACTAATGTAAGTCACTCTCAGTGTTAGTTTGGGAAATCACTTAAATATGTTAATCAAGGAAATCTCTTAAGACACTCAGTTAATCTGGGAAATCACTGAAGTAAGTCACTCTCAGTTAATCTTAGAAATCATGTTCATCTTAATCTGGAAAATCTGTGAAGGAAGACATTCCAAGTTAATCTAAGAAATCAGCAGAGCAATTCACTCTCAGTTAATTTGGGAAATCACCAAAATAAGTCACTTTCAGTTAATATGGGGTATCATTCAGTTAATTTTGGAAATCACCAAAGTAAGTCCCTCCCAGTTTATCTTGGAAATCGCTCTCTGTTTAATCTTAGGAATCACTGAAGTAAGTCACTCTCAGTTAAATTGGACAAATAATCAAAGTACACGTAAGTCACAATCAGTTTATCTTGGAAATCACCAAAGCTCATTCAGTCACTCTTGGTTAATTTGGGAAATGGCAGCTGGATTATGTCCATGTCTTGAATCTGTAGATTCAAGAAAATAAATTTTCTAATATCAATGTGATACTTCAAAATATAATGTAGATACACTTCCCCAATAGGATTTTTTTTTACACAAGTTTAACATATATATTGTAGGAAGAGAAAAATTCCAAAGAAGAGCCCTAGTGAATTGGCATCAGAGAAGCAAGCGGAGCCGGGAACTAATTATAAGAGCAAAGAGTATGCTTCTCAATCAGAGGAATCATCAGGATCTGGTAGCGAAGACAAACCTCTCAAAAAGAAATCCAAGAAGGATGAGGACTCAAAGGAAAATTAAAAAAAAATTAAGGAGGATATAAAAAAAGACTCTAAAGAAGGACCAGTCAAATAATCCAAGAAAGATAAAAAATGTGATGGGCTGGGCACCAGCAAAGAATTTGTAACAGTGAAAGAGGAAATGAAGATGGAATGTAGAGGACCAGTCAAATAAGCCAAGGGAGACCATAATCAAGTCTTCCATGGATCTGTCAAGCAAATTCTTTACTCATATTCAAAAATATGAATAGCTACATGGTTATATATTAGTTATGCCGTATGATTTTTTTTAACTTTCTGTTTTTAATAAATGATAGATGGCACAAATTTTTCAAGTCATTTCTTGAACAGTGTGTGTTAGTGAATGTTTATTTATTACAGACAGGTAGATAAAAATATCATTTTGTTATGGAAGAAATATCTTTAACATTTCATATACACACTTCATCATATTTTTTAAATTCCACTTTCTCATCCATTTCACACTTGCATTGAGCCCCCTATGATTAATTATAATGCCTGCTGCAGAAGATCCAGAGCCTAATCTTTATTGGTCACATTAAGATTATGAATGAACACCTGTCTGTAAGTGATTTATGGTTTTAAATGAAGGCTTGCATTTAATAGGATTCATTCCATATTACTTACATTTCATTTGCCACTGCTCAAACTCACAAGAATCTTATTTTGATAATGTATGCCTTAGAAAAATCAAGACATCTTATAATTAATCTTGTGTGTGTGGAGGGGGTGGGGTTAATATACATATAAGGCTGAAATAGTTGTTCAGTTTTTAAGAAAAATATTTCAATTGACATAAAAAAGATATATTTGTGGAGAGAAAAATGTCAGATTCAACATATACCGTGTAATCAGAATTCCAAGAACCCTCTATACAATGCACACTAAAGAGTTCTGATTCTGTGGTATTTTTATGTAATAAGAGTAATCTACCATTAGATCTAAAATAACATCAATCAATTCAAGCATTCTTGACATTTTGATATGCCAAGATGAATTAATTTAAAACCTCATCTGCATGCTTCTTCCCCACTTAGGTAAACAACAGTGATTTCTGTTCATCAAAACTTTGTTGACTTTGAACATTTTTCCTGGGGGGTAAAAGCCAGGCACCCTATATAAATAAGCTCAATATTTACACCTCTATACAATATAATTTTCTCATTTTCGTTTAGTGTAGAGAGGGCCCCTAATGCAAGATAGTTGAAATCATTAAAGTAGAAAAAAATTCTACTAATACAGTAATAATAATCTTTCTTGGCACTACTGAAATCGCTAAAAATATTTCTCGCTAAAAATATTTAATTTTTTAAAAAGAAAATTCGCTAAGTTTCCCTATCCCTGAAGTTCCGCAAATATACCCTGTAGACCAGGCCCCAAGACCATAAACTGACGACAGACTTATTAGCTTTTGAATATCTTGATATGAATTCAACAAACATGTTTGAAAAGTTGCAAGTTTGTCAAATATTCGAAAACAAACGCTCAATGAAAATTTGGTTTAATTTTCTTGATTTTTTTCAAAAGTAATGCAGAATTTAAATTTTGACTTAAGTCTGTTCTCAGTTTATGGTTGTGGGGCCAGAGGTTACCAAGTTTCTTTAATCTACATTGTCATCAACATCAAAAACTAAATTTACATTTTTTGTTTGAAAATACAATTTTATTGACAAATGTAGAGAATAGACGGGGTACGATAAAAATTGAAAGCAGTACACATGGCCGTAGGAACGGGGGAGAAGGGGTGCGTACCCCGCCCCAATAATTTTGCCGATATATAGAATACTCTAGAAAAAATAGCTACAATATGCTTGTGCCCCCTCAATAATAACGTCCGATGACATATTTTTCTTTTTTTTTTTTTTTTGCTTGTCAAGGAATTTTTGGTAGTTGATGGTGTCACCCCCCTCCCCAAACTGAAAATGTATGCCCTCCCCCCCCCCCCCCCAAAAAAATCATTGCTTCCTACGGACCTGGTACACAATACACATAATATACACAGATTACAATTTTCAATCGGGTTTCATTATTATTAATTTACGTCTGATGAAAGAAATGGTGGACAGACTGGACACTGAAGCAGAGATTAAAAAAGTAATTTAAAATACCACACCAATTAAATGACCATTTACTCAGTGATCTAAATCCAGTGCAAGGTCCAGTTTCCAACTCAGGATCTTGTATAAAACAACCAATTTATAACAAAAATGAGAGAATAATTACAATTAAGAGTTACTCTGAGCATAAACTGAAGGCATAATTGACAGAATTGGATAATAATTGAATAATAATTAACATGTTCACTCAGGTACAGGTGGCATCAAATGTCTTGCGGTCAAGGTCTAATATTATGTTATAATTAATACGCACTATCAAAGAAAATTATTGTCACTCAAAAATATGTTCATTTTTCACGGTCACAATATTATAGAAAATTCAGATGTAGCAAATCCTGAAAATACATGCAGTGTAAAGAAAATCGTCTTAAAGACAAAGCGTATAAAAATGTAGATGTTACATAAAACGGTTAATGGGTTACAGTGAAATTAATTGGCTCATGAATTTATAATGTTTAATTGAGATTTCAAGACTGGACATATTCCTTAAACAAAATTAAACAATGAATTAAATAACTTAAAAAAGAAAACAATTTAAAAAAAAAAGCGAAAGAAGTTACGTTTCAGCATTGAACAGATAGATTGTGTCATTCATATGCTGATTTTCTTGCTAATTTAATATGAACACTATCTTTCAGTAAGTTTATTTAGGGTGGAGAAAAGAAGAAAATTCAAAATATCTATCATCATTGTCTGTCTATCGTTCAAGGTAACAATTGTCCTAAAACACTTTTTGTGTAATTGATTTGGAAATGGGTCGAAATGACGAGGACCGAACTTGTTAAATGTCAAATTCACTATAAACCCGATCCCGATTTAAATTTCTTAATTCGAGGTTGTCCTAATCCCTTGAAACCTTTATAATATCATTACAAAAGACTTATCATTGTTGCACTGATTTTCTTTAAAAAATGGGAAAAGAGAGTCATTTCTTTTAAATCATTTTCAAATCTTAAAAATGTGGAAGAGCAAATAAAGCCCGGAAAGATGTGAGTTATTGTACAGACTAATTACCTTTTCTAAAGGCGACCAATCAGATACTAGGTGGGTGGAGCTATCACCTTGACTGATTTAAGTCAACATGGCGTGCAGAATAATAGACAATACAGCCGAGCAAGATATGCAGGAATTTCTCGACGACGAAGTTACTTGTATAAGCACGAAAAAACTTATTAGGACCTCCATCACTACATTTGATGGGTTCTTAAGTCAAAAAGGAATACAGCGAAATGTGATCGGTGCTATATCCACGGAAGAAATGAACGATTTGTTAAGAACATTCTATGCCGAAATGAAGAAGGCGGACGGTCAGAGATATGCAAAAAAGTCCATGATAACCCTTCGGTACGGCCTTCAGAAATATATCTTGAAGCTGAGAAGCGAGGACATAATTATAGATAAAAAATTTTCATCGAGTAACGCGATGTTTAAGGCGATGATAAGAAAGCTGGAGAAAGATGGCTGTGGGGAACCGAAACAAAAAGTCCCCATTCTTCCCGAGGACATGACAAAATTATATAACACAGTGTTTAACACTGATACACCACAGGGACTACAGAATAAGACTATGTTTGAATATCTATATTACTTTTGTAATCGTAGCCGTGAAAGTCTGAGGGAACTGAAAAAAGAGGATTTTATAGTTTCTGTTGACTCAACGGGGAGGGAGTATGTGACTGTGAGGGAGAGACGATCAAAGAACCATCCAGGACAAAAGGATGACACAACCGCTAAACAGGCCAGGATGTACGACCGCCCCGGTAAGTGCAATGTTAACATCACAGAATTCAAAATTCGTGTGCTTTTATTTTTGATCGGGATCGAGTTCGTAAAATTAATATTTGGACAAGATTTGCAAAATATATGTTTTTTTGTTTAAAACTTTATATCTTTTGTGAAATATTTCAAATTTATAAATTCCATTTATTAGTTACATACAATGAATAATAAAATACCTTTAGGGTTTTCTAGGGTTATCTACAATTTTTAGCTCTCTTTAGTTGTTTAGCATGTACGACCTTGAACAAAAAGTTGCAAGTGCATGTAATCATGCTAATACTCAGAATATATGCAGTGCAATGATATGTTTGTTATTATATGATTGAATGGTTCAAATCTATTCTAAAGATCACCAAAAAAGTTATATTCACCCACACTCAAGCATCCAGGATGAATATAACGTTTTATTTATTTCTGCATTAGACTAAAAATAGATCGGACGAAAATATTGGTTATATTTATGTTGTCGTCCAATGAAATGCCGCGTTTCTCACTTCATTCGGATAGCGCTTCTGCAGTCGAAAGCAAAAGATGGCGAGGTTTGCATCACTCGAAGAGGCCCAGTTTGATAAGCTGGTCAATGACAGAGATGCAGAAAACACTCAGAGGGCTACAAGAATGGCAGTCAAAGTATTTCGAGGTTATTTGATAGAAAAAGGCCTCTCTCCCGATTTTGAGTTACATGAACCAGGCGACCTGGATTCTGTTTTGTGCAAGTTTTATGCAGAAGCAAGAAAAGTTGGCGGTGAGCTCTATAAACGCAGTACTTTATTTTCCATAAAACATGGTCTGAATAGACATTTGTCTGTGCATTCACCAGCTGCTATGGACATTATCCATGGAAAGGATTTCAGAAAGTCACAACTTGCATTTAAAGCAGCTACAAGGGACCTAAAGCGCAGTGGTAAGGGAGGAATTTCCCACTATCCTCCCATTGAAATGAATGATTTGAAAATCATGTATCAATACTTTGATCTACAAGACAATGTTAAACTCCAAGAGAAAGTGTTTGTAGATATAGTGCTGTATTTTGGGCGTCGAGGTCGTGAGAATTTACACAAATTAAGGACCTCGGACTTCGTCACCAGACGTGATTCAGAGGGCCTTCTCTACATTGATTTAGAGAAAGGGAAAGACACAAAAAACCAACAGGAGGATGCAAACCCAGCAGAAAGAAGGATGTACGCATTGCCAGGTTTGTAAAATATATAAGTATGAGAGTGAAATGTACTTTCATTTCTAAATTTTATTAACTGTTACTGTAAATGTATTCATTATTCAGTATGTATGATATTTGGCTGGGAATGCTTTTTGAGAAAGTAACGCACGTTTGATTTTATCCCCACAATGTCAGGGGCCCTGCTTCAACACTTTGCCGTTGGACTCCTCACAAATTTCATTTGATGTCTTGTGGGCTGACTGCAGCGATGTCTTTTGGGAAAAATTACATATCTTAATTGTTTTTCTTATCTCTCAACTATTTCGGTGATAAACAATGCATAACAATGCATTTTATGTGTCAACAATTCCTTTCTGTTTACATTATCTCTCTACTTCAATATTTAATTGTTGCTTCTTATTTTTCTTAAATTTCTTCAAAATTTACATTTATATTTTTAGACGACCCTCTCTACTGTCCTGTGACATCATTTCTGGAGTACAAGAGGCGACTAAACCCAAACTGTGTACGATTTTTTCAAAGACCAAAACGCCATCATGAGCACTGTCATTTGTGGTTTGATAATGTTCCTATGGGCCATAATACCATAGGAAACATGATGGCTAAAATATCCGAAAAAGCAGGTCTATCCCAGAGGTACACGAATCATTCTCTGAGGACGACCCTGCTCCACACCAGGGAGTCAGCAGGTTTGTTAACAGGTGGCCTCATTACGAGTATCAATGGATGTCAAGCAGCATCATAGAGCAATTTGAAAATAATTAGAACCATTCAATCATATAATAAAAGATTTTTATGGTTATTTTTTGGTCAATATGATGATTAAGAAAACTGTCAAAGTACAATATTAATCTAGTTCCCAGGGGCTCAGTGAATATTTTACTCCTTTGGTAGCTAAATCATCATATTGACCTCAGAAATAGAAATAAGTCTGATATTTTCATTGGTTTAAACATTGAAATGTGACATGTGACTGGAAGCTATATTTCTTTGTCTGGCTGATGAAAATTTATATCCATCAATAGGTGTTACCGAACTATCTTTATCCTTGTGTTCTGTTGATGTACATACGTCTTAAATGGACCATGATATGGAGTCGTGCAATTTTTCATGGGAATATATAAATCCTTTTAATTAAAAATCTGAAGAACACTAGGGATAGAGTTACTCAGGTGAGCATTGTGGCCGCCCATGGGCCTCTTACTGTGAGTTTTATTTTAATATAAACACACAATACACAGTACGCATCATCCTGGAATAGAGACCATATGATTCACACATGATGTTTGAAATGATGGAATATTTTATGTATACAAAGGTTTTGAATCCCCATCTCTCTTTCTTTCTCTCTTTCTTTCTCTCTCTCTCTCTTTCAAACTAATACAAACATAACAAATAACAATATAGATATTGTATTAAAAATTGTTACGTTAAAAAAAATACACTGAAATTACGATCGGGCGTGGTATACGGTATATTTTAAACCCTGTTATGGCGTTTGGCTGTTTATAATTTTTCAAACCTACTAGTACTAGTAAACCATTTAACGTACTTTACGGGTATTTTAATGCTTTTACGTTATGTGCACGCAGCACAAATATTGAAAGAACCGTAATGCCGACTTCAAGATTTGCTGAAACCTCTGAAGAGGAGAGGGGAGAGAAAATAGCTAGCATCATGTCTAGTAAGTTTAACAACAAGAAAACTTTAAAAGCGAACAAAGGTGCTGCGAGGATTTTTAAAGATTATTTGACTGAGAAAGGTCAAAGTGAACATTTTGAAGAATTTGACTGTGCTAAACTGGATGAGATGTTGGGGCGATTTTACATGGATTTACGGAGAGAAGATGGCACACCTTACAAAAATAATACGCTGGAGACGATACGTTATGGTCTCAATAGATATTTAAAGTCACCTCCTTTCAACAGAAAAATCGATATATTAAAGGATTCTTCATTTATAGACAGCAACACTTGTTTTAAGTCTGTGATAGCGGAAGCCAAAAGAATGGGAGCGGGGGTTGTTGTCCACCACCCAGTTATTTCGGATGCAGACTTAAAATTACTGTATACCAGTACGCAGCTGTCTATAGCAACACCTATGGGTCTCTTCAATAAAGTCCAGTTTGACATCCGAATGTATTTTTGTCAACGAGGGAATGAAAACTTGCATGCAATGACCAAGGATATGTTCAAAGTTGTGAAAAATAAAGGAACCGGTGAAATATTTGTAAGGCGAGTTGATGATGACGACAAAGAAACAACACCCAGGATGATGCCAGAAGTTAAAGGTATGTTTTATTTTGTGTTTCTAAATTGAGCAAGAGAAGAAAGTATTTTACTTTTGTACTCCTTTATATTCTATGTGTCACTTGGTAGTGCTTCTTTGTATCTTTTTAGAATCCATATACTGTCCAGTTCTATCATTCCAGAGGTACTTAGCCAAGCTCCATCCAGACTGTGACAAGTAAGTTGCAGGGCTAATCTCTATTATTAGAGCCATTCAATGGCCCTATTCCCAATTAATAAAAAAAGATAAAGATTTTCCCCCCATTTAATGTGTTCGTTTTCCCAAAAGACTCCCTCCGCTCCCCCTAATTAAAGAACCTATGGTTAGATATATAGAATATTATAATAACTTGCTTCTCTGTACTAAGTTAAATTGATTACAAACACCAGAGACCTTGATGAATTCAATATATAATGATTTTCATGTGTAATGATTATCCAAAAAAGGTAGATAATTTTTCCCAAATGTTATGGCCCTGACCCCAGCCCTAAAAAGGACTGTGAGAACCCTGAATTGATGGAATCCAGACAGATTAATTTTCATAATTTCATAGAAATGTAGCTAATGGAATGTAGTTAATGGACAAAGTTTTATTTTACAGACTGTGGCAGAGACCAAGGGATGTGTTTTCCGACTCTGATTCAACATGGTACTGCAACATCCCTGTTGGTGAGAAGAAACTGAGTAAATTTCTCAGTACTTTGAGTAGAGCTACTAACTTGTCTAAAGTGTATACAAACCAGTCCATTAGAGTGACTGATGCATCCAAACTGTCTCAGTGTATGTTTGGACATTCACATGTAACCCCCGTCACAGGAAACCAGCCCATGCAGAACCTTATCGTTTTCCAACAAGTCAGTGATGCAGAGGAAATTCAGACGGGTGAGTCTCCTGCTGTGAGGCCAGCAGGCTTTCATGGCTTGGTACTCAGCATCCTAACCATGTACACAGGGACAGTATTTGTGAAGTTGAGAACATTGAATATTGATGAATGGGAGATGGAGCAGCAGAGAGTTTGATCTACCAGAAAAAGAGAACAGAGACCACTGAGTTCAATTATTTACTAATTACATTGTAAACATGAAATAATTTAAAAAGTAACTAAAAAAGGAAAAAATTGAACTTTGAATGAGTTGTCATACCCACCGTCTTGAGGTTGAAATTACAGTCTATTGTTGAAATTACTGTTTACACAAATACTGTTGAAATATTGTTTGATTTTGACAGAATGTGATTATACATGTATTATATTCAATATGATCTTCATGATCAGTTCTTGCAGATACATCTCTCACGTTATTGTCTGCAAGAAAATAATTTCAAAGTCACTCATAAGCATGAGAGTACACATGTACCTGTGTTAGGTTTGTTACTGTGTAACTTTTATAGGGTTGATCAATAGACAGCTTCGTTTCACCTTGCTGTATAAGAGGGTGATCAACCCAATATATTTTTTATACGCCCGTCTTAAGACGGGACGTATTATGTTATAGCGTTCATGTCTGTCCGTCCGTCCGTCCATTAGCTTTTTCGTGTCTCGCTCATAACTTTAATACTATTAGGCCTAGAGTTATCAAACTTTGTCAGCTGATGCATCTTTGGTAGAAGGTGTGTCGCGCATTAAAAGTAGGTCGCTCTGATCTTTAATTAAGATGCTATGGCCAAATATGGAAAAATCCTGTCTGGCTCATAACTAGAAAACTATTAGACTTAGAATCATCAAACTTGGCCAATTTATGCATCTTAGATAGAAGGTGTGTCGTGACCTATTTCAAGGTCACTGTGACCTTTAATTTAAGTGAAATTTTAAAAAAAAAAATGTCTTTTTACTATTAAATTACACAATCCCAAAAAATGTAAGAGTGTTGCAGTATCCATATTAAAAAAATGTTAAATCAAGAAAATACTTATTTTTTTCATTATATACTTTACAGCAATCTATAACAAATGTAATGTTATAAGAGAAATTCCACCTCTCCCGTGGGTTTAATTATCAAGCACTGGTCAAGTAGAATTTTGATAACAGAAAATTACATGTCAAATTAGAGAGAAATTAATGAGTTTAGTGTGAGGAGCTAACCCGTAGAGCATCTCTGATCAAGCAGGTGTTATCTATATCTCTTGGGACTGGACAGATGTTGGATTAAATACATGTAGTTCTTGTTCACAGGCTAGCCTAACTTTTAAAATGAATTTGATGAAAAGTAATTAAAACTAATTTGATATTGCATAATAATAAAATTTGTTGATATTTTATAATAAACTAATTAAGTAAAACTAATTCTACTTGGGGGGGGGGGGGGGGGGGGGAGTTAATATTGAAATCAGCATGCCCATTGTCCATATGATTGCAGCTTAAAACCAGTTAGTCTGACATTAAATCTAAAAAAAATTCAAGTATTTAAAAAAAATGTTTTAATTATGGTAGATAGCCACTACAAATCTTAGAGTCATGCAGGAACCTTATTAATAATGTTGCTTCAAGATGACACAAGTTTTTTTTTCTTTTTAGAAATCTTTGTAACAAATTTAAAAAAAAATCTTTGTTTTCAAATTTAACTTCAGGATGACATAAATATGCATTTTTATTGCACTACAAAGCAAATAGTGCAGATCCATTCATCCCTTGGGAGTAATGAGTGGACATGCATCCAGTTAAAGATTAATTAATGAGTTCAATGTAGAAAGGCTAGCTGTCTCAATCATTTCTGTGAGAGCATCTCTGATCAAGCAGCTCTTATCTGTATTCTTTGGGAATTAGACAGAAGAACTGCTGGTCAGTTTATAGCATATGTCATTTGACTGCCAGCCTTTTTATTTTCAAAATTAATTTGGTATAGATTAAGTTGTTAAGACTAGATTGATATTGCTTAATATGATATTTTTATATTTTTTGAAAATATCAACGAGAGCATCATGTCTCACAAATATGAAAGATGTGTGTGTGTGGAAGGGGGGGGGGGTGTGGCTGCAGATGGGCATTTGTCAAGCTCTAACACAACCAGTTGAGGATCTATAATGTAATATTTGTTAAAATTAATGCGTACACCACAGGAGATGTATAAACAAATATTATAAGGAATGGAAAAATCATGAAAGTCCTTGTACCGGTATCAAGGTTGACATGATTTTCTTGTACTCTAAACTGTTTTTGATAATTGAACAATATTTGACGGGCGTATCATGCTGTGGCGGGGCACTTTATTTTACACTGTATCAAACTTATTAATTGATAATTTTTTTTTTCTTGACACATGCTCACAAGATCTGATAAGATATTAAATATTGTTGCCCTAATGCCAAATATAAATTCTCACTTGCAAGACACTGAAATAAAGCCATAGTCACATGTCAAGTTTAAACCAATGAAAAAAAACAACAATTCTGTCTGAGGGAAATAAAATGATAAAAACTTATTCATGTATTTCAGGTGATCCATCATGCCCAGTATCATCTTTTAAGAAATATTCCTCAAAGTTGCATCCAGACAACCCAAACTTTTGGCAACGTCCAAAGAAGAAGTTTAACAAAGTCAAGGACACAGATGAAGAATGGTATGATAAGGTGTCGGTCGGAAAAAATGCTCTCTATGCATTTATGTCGAATCTGAGTGAGGAGGCTAACCTGAGTCAGAGGTACACAAACCACTGTATCAGGGCTACCAGCATCTCTACGTTAGACAGCCAGGGAGTGGAGGCTGAGGACATCATAGGGATCAGTGGACATAAACACATACGCTCAGTAAAATCCTACAATTCCAACCTAGACGACCAAAAGAAACGGGAAATGTCTGATATTCTGTGCCAAAATCTTCCTTCAAATTCTGCCAAGACTGGACGTCTAGATACAGCATCATCAAGTCTGTCTCACACTAACTCCTGTACTGCATCTGTAAAAGAGGACCATTTTGCCGGGATGAATGAATACAGAAATCTATTGGTGGGGGATGCAGCCAGTGCGTGGAAGCGTTTGGTTGGACGATTTTACTGGCTCAATGACAGTGACATTGCTAAACATCTGATTGAAGTTCACGATTGCTATTGTGGTGGCTCGTGTCCCCTTGAGAGGTATATTAATATTGAATATAAAAAGTGTTTTTTTAATGTCTATTTACAATATTTTTTTAGGCCAAAAGAAAAAAAAAGTTCATAAACCCTCTGCTCACTCATATAAAATGATGCTTTAACTCGTATGATTTTCCAAAAGAAATGTATTTTATAAGTAAAATTCCAACAATTATAGCATAGCTTGCAAGGCAAAATTGGACATTTAGACCTTGCAAATTATAAAGGAATAATAGACATCTATGTTATTAAGAGTTACCTCTCTTATTAGAATATCAATTAACCTTAATGTTCAGTTCCTCAGGGCACTTTGCTGCATTAAGGTTAGCACTGCCACATTTATTCACAAAAAAAGTAAAAATCGTGACTTGTTCACATGAAAAAGAGAGGTGATAACCCTTACTTTTGAATTTTTTTTCCATTAAGAAACTAAAGATCAATTTTGGGAGGATTTATTTGTACATTGCACTCAAAAATGCAACCTTCCATGCTTTACCATAACCTTGTAGATTTTTGTTGAATATACGTAACAATGCATTTTCAAATTTAAGGTTCTTGTTTCAAGCAATTTGCAAATAATAAGGGAAAGAAATGTGTGAAATATTATTCATTTTTGTTTTGGTAGAACACATGATGAACCAAATTCAGGACCCCAAAGTTCAAGTAAAACACATGGTGAGTCTGTAACAAACTGCTAAGCTACCATGATTAAAAGACCAGCATATAGACATATATAAAATATGTGATTGACAATCGGTTGTTCATTTCTGCAGTTCAAACAAATTTATAATATTGTTAACGTAATTTACTTATTTGATTGATTATCATATTGTATTGCATTTTGCACGATGTCTTGCTTACTAATCTATATAAATGCTGATACATGATTAAATTAGCCTATACCTATCGGTTAAAAAAAAAAATTATACTCCTCTTAGTTCCGAGCTTGCTAATTTAAGTGCGTTTACATTGAATGAGAGTTTCACTGAATCTATAGAGAGAAGCACAATTTTTTTGTAATCAGCAAAGCTGAGTTATAAAATATACTTTCCCACTCGCCTCAGTATTAATCTAATACAGCTTTGGCACAGTGATACTTTATGAATGCAATAGAAGGTGTTGTAATTGAAGTGTTTGTATAATTTGTATAATTTTACAGTTATAGATTTGATTCCGTCAACAGAGACTGACAAAGACAACAGGGACGTCTTACTCCAATTAGAAGGTAGCTTTATTGATACATATTGTTATCAAGTGCTGTTGAACTTGGGTTTTTGAACTTCATTATGATGAATGCCACAACATGTCAAAGTTCAGTCAGAAGTCCCGACCATGGTTTCTCTAGATGTATTCTAATTTGATATCCCCAATCCTCAGATGTCTGAAATTTTTCTGTCCCCATCGAATCTTGATAACAAGATTTTACTGTATTACATAACAGGGTAAACATCTTGTGTTTTAAAAAAATAAGTGAGAAGGCTTGTTAAAATTTGTCAAGATGAAAAATATATCTGTAGAATGGCATACCCAGTATTTTTAATTCCTTCCAGAGTTGATGTATATATACATGTACAAGGTATGCATTTCTGCTTGAAGAAACAGGTTCTTTTATTTTTTGGACTGGAATTCATTTTTTCTTTTGACAGTTGATGAAGGAGCAGAGTCCATTGATGAAGACTTAAGTGGTGACAGTGACCTAGAACATGATGAGGTTAGTCAGAATTTTTAGCCGGGCTTTGCTATAGCAAATAGCAAATAGTAGCAAAGCCCTGGCTAAGGCATGTCAATCACCTGCCCTATTATAAATAGCATAACACAAAGATAAACAAAAAAGCCAAGCATGCTGAAGCTTACAATACACAAAATAGTCATGGTGAGAGACTATTATCATACTTTAACAGATATATTTAACTCAATATTTAGAAGTTATGAAAATTTTTGTTTGAGAATTAAACTGAAGGAAGAATAAGGCAATGACTATGTAACTAATAAAACTTTTTTCCCGCAGGAGTTTGATATAAAACAAGAACAGGAGTCTGTGGACGATGACACCCCGCCGACCTCACCTGAATCAGCCTATCCCAGAGATGACCCATTAGCTCCCTCTACCAGCTCCCAGGCCAGTGATGCAGGAGGAGACAACCTCACACACACACTCACTGCAGTAAAACAAGAACCCGTGGAGACATATTCCATGAAACCTGCACCAGAAACTGCCACAGCTGACAAATCTTGGCCTCCAAAGAATGCAATAAACACTGGATCTGAGAATACTTCAAACCTCCCTTCTTCATCCCTTTCATCAGTGACAAGTAACATAGCCCTCAAGAGTACAGCTCAAACAAATCCCGTTATTCCTATAGCTCTCATACAGAACATTTTGCAAAAGTCAGGCAGGACTACATCTAATGTAAGACCTCCACCGCTGAACACAGTGACCCCTAGTGTTAGAGGTGTTCATCCACTGCTGAACACAGTGACATCTAGTGTTAGAGATGTTCATCCACCGCTGAATACAGCGACATCTAGTGTTAGAGATGTTCATCCACCTTTTTCACAAAACTCAGCTGTGACACAGAATGTAGCAGTTACACCATCTGCTAATATTGTCAGAGCACAATTACCTCCACTGAACACTGCTGTTGTTGGAAATGCTGGAAATCTACCTCAGAGTATTCCATATTATACTATACAAAGAGGAAATACATTATATCTGCAGCAAGCCCCCAACCCACGTGTTCTACAACAAGCCCCCACCCAACATGTTCTACAGCAAGCCCCCACACCACATTTTGTTCAACAGGCCTCCACCTCACAATCTCCGGCTCAGACATTTTTAAATGTTATCAGTTGTCAGAATGCCACACTACCTCTTCCTCAGGGAGTTGACTTCCAGTCTTTGTCTCAGGTGTCACAAGGTTTACCTGTGGCTGCGCCTAATTTTGGGACATTACAAAGTATTGACCCACTTTCTGTTCAGCCTGTGTGTGCCACAACTGCATCAGGTACAACATTACAAAGGGGAGAACAGCAATGTTATAAAGATGACAAGCAACTGGACTGGGGGCAAGGGCAGAAAGACAAAAAGGTAAAAATGGAATGGATGACTTTCACATTTACATAAATATTTTTGCTTTGCAAGGTCAATATGGGATTGGTGTATTTTACTGTTGTAAAATTACTGATTATTTTCATTGTTTTCGAGGTATGAAGATACACACAAATTCATGTCCACCATGAAATGTAAATTTCAAACACATAACTAGTCAATTCTTTATCCACAAAATGAAATTCCCATGAACCCATATTTTTTCCTCGAACCACGAAAAATTGACCCACAGAAATATGTGATTTACACTTTTTCCCCAGTCATCCATATTTTGTATTTCTCTTTGGTTTGCATACTTTATCACGGGGATAATTTCTTTATATTAGCAGATTTTATGATAGCATGGACTTCTTTAACTGATTTCAGAATGAGACAAGCCTAGGAAATGCTCTAGCCATGGAGGGAAACTTTACAAGCAGAGAATCCGTGAAAAGGCCCCTGTCTGAAAGTGATGATGGGCCGGGCACCAGTAAAAGACTTGTTACGATTAAAGAGGAAAAAGACTCCGATGCATGAAGAAAACAATTTAAATATTCCAGGTATGAACAATAATCTATATATCAAATCATTTACTTCAGTTTATCCCCCTTTTTCTTTTGTTTTGCATATGTAATTTGTGTATTCATTCATGAGTGATGACATCAATTAGTACAAGGTGATATGTCCATACATGTGCCTAGTCATTCCAGGATTACACAAGTATCTCTTAAGTTTCCAGAACTAGATTGATTACAATAAATAAAAAGCTACTATCTCAAATTAACAAACTTCACATTTTACACAAATAACAATGTACACTGTATAGACCCTTATTGATCCTTGTACAGCCATGAATGAAGGGCTTTTAATATTTCTTTCGATTACTGAGTTGGATTGTATTTCATTCAGGTTTTGCCTTTGATTATAATCTGTGTAGGAAATATTGCTGAATGATCTACTCTCAAGATTAGGGGCATTCATGATTATAATCTGTGTAGGAGATGTTGTTGAATGATCTACTCTCAAGATTAGGGGCATTCATGATTACATGTATAATCTGTGTAGGAGATGTTGCTGAATGATCTACTCTCAAGATTAGGGGCATTCATGATTATAATCTGTGTAGGAAATGTTGCTGAATGATCTACTCTCAAGATTAGGGGCATTCATGATTATAATCTGTGTAGATGTTGCTGAATGATCTACTCTCAAGATTAGGGGCATTCATGATTATAATCTGTGTAGGAAATATTGCTGAATGATCTACTCTCAAGATTAGGGGCATTCATGATTTGAAAAGTTTTGATATCTAGCACTCTTGTGTTCCAAACCAAGGAACTTGACTATTTTTAGAAAGAATTTTGATAAAGAAATGGATTCTGTAAAATGCATAGATTTGTGCATTCTATATTTAACACATTCTTCTTCTGCTGTTTGGTTAATAATAAATTAACACGTTTGGAGTGTAACTGCAGTTGAACTTCGGTATCTGGAACACTGATATCTCGAATACCCTGGATATGTCAAAGTGATTTGGAAGTCTAAACCGCTTATTCTTTAAGTAATTTACCCTGGATATTTCAAATTCTTGGATATTTCAAAGTATTTTCTTGGTCCAATCGAGTTTGAGATACTGAAGTTCAACTGTATATGTATTTTCATCATACACAATATTTAGTGTTTTCAATCGGCTAAGTAGAAGCAGCTCTAACGGGACTAAAATGTTATCTTTGTAAAATTAAGTATGTTTTAGTACACTAAGTACAGCATTTAGTTCAGTATTTAACATGTTTAATTTAGAAATATTTGAAATATTAACATGTAGAACTGTTTGATTGTCTATAAATATTTAATTATTTCAGATTCAGATCATTCCAGAATCTTGCATCCTTGCCAGCTGTCACATCACAAACTCTGTGTTAAATGGAGCCAAGATGGAGGGAAAAACCTTTTAGTGAATTTTATTTATTTATCAGTATGATTTTTATTTTTTGTTCTTGTTATATTTGTTTTGATGAGTTGATGTTTTTTGTCAAATAAAAGTATAGATCAATTATCAAGTTTTTATGGGGAAATATTACATCAGAATTGACATGAAGTACCCCCTGAATGAAGAAAATAGAATTCAAACGATGCCATAAATTCAAACTGACACAGGTCTGACCTCTAGCGAATGTCAGGTTGGGGAGCATTGATTCTCTAATATTGCGTCAAACACAATATGCCTTTGTCCTCTACCAAATTTAAAATTTGTTCATTTAAATTTGTATTACAATTAAATTGAACAAATTCCTGAATTCAGTATAGGACAGTAGGTACAAATAAAAATGTCATCAGAGACGTATTTGACATTGTTTGACGTTCTCTATCCAGAGTTGTCGTTTCCGCCACGCTTCCACCTACGCCTCTGTCAAGCTTGTTATACAAGATTCTTGGGAAAATTGTAAACAATTAAAAGTTGTATTAATAATCTCTTTAATTGTGTCACCGCGAACGAAGTCGGGGGACATATTGCTATTGGACGCATGAAAACATTGTTCACGGACTTTTTCGCATATGGCTGGGACAATGTTGCTGAATCTTTCCATAAAAGATGATGACCAACTGTATTTGTGTGGAAAATATTTTTAAGTTTTAACATGGGTACCGTTGCCATGGAAACGTACGAAAAGTGAAGAATTTTGTCCAGAAGTGTTCTCACTAATATCTTAGACAATCGTAATGAATCTTCATAGAAATGATGACCAGTAATTATAGTTTTGCAAATCGCATTTAAAATTTTCAAACCACCCATCATTGCCATGGAAACAGAAGAAAAGTAAAAATTGCTAAACTGATTTTCTCACAAACTGCTCAGGCAATTATTTTGAAACTTGTACGGATTGTTCCTTACATTCTGTCAAAATAATTTCTATTTTAAAAATTAAAATCTTTTGCAAACAGTTGCCATAGGAATGAAATAAACAGAAAAAGGTGAACATACACACCGATGTTTTCCGAGGTGGCTTGGACAATTGTGATGAAAATTTACAGAAATTATGATTAGATACTCTATTTGTTCAGTCAACATTCAAACAATTCTAAATGCCCATTGTTGCCATGGAAACAGGAAAAAGGTGAATTTTTTTAAATTTTCATTTTTCTCAGTAACTCACAAAGCAAACTTTTCAACACTTTATTGGTTTAATCCTTTCAATGTATCAAAGTGGTTTCTGCATAAAATGGAATCGATAGTCAGCGGAAGGAAGCAGGGACGACTAATTGTTTTTTAGTCACCCTATTTCTGTTTTTGGGCGTTCTCGTAGAAGGTTTAAAAAATCTTTATGAAACTTCACAGAAATTAAAGGTCAACACCTAAGTTGTGCGGATTTTTTCTATGTGTCGATGTCTATTTGCATTTTCTTCGTACTAATGGCCAAAAAACGTTGTATATACGTTTATGTTTGATCTTTTTAAATCCATAAATTATTCAATTTCTTTGTCTTCCTAATTTCTTTTTCCTGTAATATTCCTAGAATACATAAAGGTACATCTATGAAGCTTTGATATATTACTAGTTTTTTGATAGGATTAAGAAGAAATAAAATATCTTATCATTTCCCCAAAAACGTGGGACCAACGTTTCTTAAACACTAAAAATTATTCATTTTATTTTCAAGTATGTAGTTTACGGAGACTGCACTGGAGTAATACGCATAGTACGAAGTGTACAGAAAAAAAGTTCTCTGGTGGCGGAAACTTCGTTTTGCCGTAGAAACGAATTTCTATTGAATAAAAAGAATAGTATATATTTGGCGGGCGTATTTTTATTTCCTTCATTTCAAATTTAGAAGACCAGATCACAGTTTTCACCCCCTTCTCTTTCTATATATACATATATATCTTTCTCTAATTGCAAGTTTTCCTTTATGTCTTGGATTCTAAGTAAAATGACCGTCAACTTCATATCATAAGCAACCCTTCATCACGAAGTTCTCGAAATGCTAAGGCTTAGTAATTCTACAAAATGATGGCTAATTAACATGTCTATTTCAAGATCACCCCCCCCCCCCCCATACCTTCCTCGAAATTGCGAGGTAGAAACACAGATATAAAAATTACAACTGACAGGAAAGATCTTAAGAATTTCGTGAATAAAATTCAGTTCTGATATTTCCCAACATTCATTTTCGTCTTGTTTTGTCTATAGAATTGATAATTATTTTATTTAGAATCTTTATCTTTGAAAAGTAGTGATGGTCAGCCGTATTCATTAGCATTTCGTGTTTTCTTGTGAATGTATTACTCGCATATGAATAATTTCATTCATTGATTAATTATAATTATTTCAATTTAATATCCATCTTTTTATAAATTTGAAAATCTTGGGATCCGCTCCTGCAGGTGCGTTTAAGCCTCATCACTATCGTACATTCAGCATGCCGGAAATGTTCATATTTCTGCTAAGCTGAAAAAAAGTTTACACATATTATCATCTCATTAAAAAATTAGCCCATGTCCTATGCAAAAATGCCTGAATTGAAGAGGAAAATTCAGGAACTATTTTGCGTCAGCCATGTTTTGACGTGAACCTGGCATTCTGTAAATTAAGGTCTTTCGTCTTCTACAGAAGACATTCTTGTTATTCCTGATATCAGAGAAAATTAATAATTTTATTTTAAACCAATCAGATCTATCAAAATCTATTTTCTTCTAGACAATACTGTCCTTTCTGACATATTTTAGTTTATCAAATAAATTCTGCAATAAAGATAATAATTTATATAACTTGAGTGAGAAGGGTAAGGAGATTTTTTTACGAATACTTTCTCTCTTTGGAACAATCTTGGAGCTTATGGTTCATGCAGTTCGGGGTGACATACGCTATTGCTTGCAATAGGAGATTTTCTAGTTATATTTCTTATCGGAAAACATTATTTATTTTAATTTATTACACCTTAAAAGGATTTTTAGCTCGTCTCGAAGAATTCTAGATGAGCTTATGCTATACCCCCGGCGTTGGTGTCGGCATCGGCGTTAGCGTCCCGGTCAAAGTTTTAGGAGCAGGTCTATTCCCAAGTAACTATAAGCCCTACCTGGACCAAACTTGCATGGATGATGCATCTAGGGATGGACACTACCACACTTGCTTCCGATACTGGATCTGAGCTTGATTTTCCAGATGAGTGACTAGGTTAAAGTATTTGGAGCAGGTCCATTCCCAAGTAACTATTAGCTCTACCTTGAACAAACTTGCATGGATGATGCATCTAGTGATGGACACTACATGTACCACACTTGCTTCGGATGCTGGATCTGACCTAGATATTCCAGATGTGTGACCATGTTAAAGTTTTTGGGGCAGGTCCATTCCCAAGTAACTATAAGCCCTACCTTGACCAAACTTTCATGGATGATGCATCTTGGGATGTACGCTAACCCACCTGCTTTGGATGCTGGATTCGACCTAGACCTGAATTTTAGTCATATCTTAACCAGATTAGCATGGATGATGTAGCTAGGAATGGTCACTTCCAGACTTGCTTTGGATTCTGAATTTGACCTACATTTTCCAGATGAGTGACGAGGATAATTTTTTTTGGAGTAGCTATATAACATTATGGCCTGTTATGATTAAACTTGCATAGATAATGCATCTAAGGAAGAAAACTTCCAAATTTACTTTGGATGTTGGAACTGACCAAAATTTTTTTGATTAGTAAACAGGATAAACGTTTTTTGAACAGATCTATTTCCAAGTAACTCTAAGTTGTACATAAACCAAACTTGCATGGATATTGATCTTGGGATGTGCACTAACTAAAAAAGAATATGATGTTGAAATTTGCCAATAATTGGTTAATTACCGCGGTTTATCCGCAGTAAAAACACAAAATTTATAAACTGTGGTCATAAGGAAAGTTTTACGCTTTTAATTTCAAATAATTTAGAAACATGCGATAAGTCCTTTAATTAAGATTTTAATATTTACTCCGCAAAAAAGTTCCCTAAAACTTCAAAAATAAGTCGTTTCTAGGGATTATAGATCTAAAATAAATGATGAATTATAATCTTTATCGATAAATACAATAATAAATTACTATTTAAATTTCGAATTTTCACCGTTTAAAATTTGTACAAGAATCTTGTATAACGAGCGTTGACAGAGGTGTAATGAGCGTAGCGGAAGACAACTCTGGATAAAGAATGATTGTTTGAGGGGACACAACTCTAAATTAGCTTTGTTTTCTAACCTATAGAATAGTAAAATGATTGAAGAGGCACTACTGTAAATTATATTGTTTACTAGAGTAAAGTATAAAATATATACTGACAAAATTATTGAAAGGGAGGCAGTGATCCTCGCTTTTCATCCTTTAAAAAAAATATTTATTATAAATAGTCGTAGGTCGTCTAAACATTGATCTATCAAAGCCTTTGATTGCTGACAAAACTTGAAGCTACTGAAGATTTAGATAAGACACTGTCCATATGACCCAAATAACTGCAGGGTATAGATTGTAGTACATGTATGTGTAAACGTAATTTTCATAGCAATATTGATAAAGGTGAAAAACTATTTTTTAAAAAAATCGGGTTTTGGAAGGTATACTCTCTTGCATGAAATTAAAAGAAATATAATTTAAAAAACAGATTTTAGTAGTTCTATGTATATGTTTTTGAGAGTTTAACACCACTTTAGATATAGATGTATTGTTTGCAGACTACACATACATGTACATGAGGTAGCCAACACACATTTGAATAAGGCCGCCCTTTCTATTACAGTATTACGTGGTACGGCGAACTACTTTTAGAACATAAATAATATAATTCTAGTTGTAACGGGCGATTTGACTGGATAGAAAAAATTGTGTACATAATTATATTATATTTTATTATATGACTTAATAACTCCCATCTCTCTGATTGGCTGAGATCAAACAGTGTAGAAAAAATGCATTGCATTAAGCTAGGACTTCAGCAAATGTAAACAAGTAAGATATATAATGGCATGGACTGCTTAATGAGTTCGTATCATTGATTATTGAATCATATAATAAAACAATGTTTTTTTTTCAGTGAGGCAATACGATGATTTAGCCACCTTGGAAGTACAATATTCACCTCGCCCTTCGGGCTCGGTGAATATTGTACGTACTCCTCGGGTGGCTAAATCATCGTATTGACATCAAAAACAGCAATAATTGTATATTATTATATAATTGAATAATTCCCATCTCTCTGATTGGCTGAGATCCAACAATGTTAGAAAAATACTACGTTATATTGACCTGCAGTGACCTTCCAGGTCAATATAAGGAATTATTTCCAGGTCAGTATAAGGAATTATTTATTCTACTTTGGACCAAAAATAGAATCATATAATTAAAACAGTTATATTGCTTTTTTTTTTAATATTTTTTTTTTATTTTTTATTTTTTTTTTTTAGGTCAATACGATGATTTAGACACCTTCAAAGTACAATATTCACCGAGCCGGAAGGGCGAGGTGAATATTATTCTCCTCAGGTGTCTAAATCGTCGTATTGACCTCAAAAAACAGCAATAATTGTATAATATTTGATATTAAATTATTTTTTCTCCAAGTCGGGTAATAAACGCCTCTTTTTGAAATATTCATGATCACATGACCCCTCATGCTGAAATTAGAAAGTAAACAAAAACATGGCGACTCGGAAGCGTGGACGACCAGTAGGTGGAGGTCTAACCCAATCGGAAATTAAAGAAAGGAAAAGAAAATCAGACAGGGAAAGAAATAGAGAGAAAATATTTATTGGTCATCACTTTCAGCGCTGGAATCGCGTCAAAAGGGAGTTAAAATTCATGTATAACCATGAGCTAGCGGGGTACTTTCTTGACAGGTCAGTAAAAACAGTAAACAGAGAACCCTAGTGAACTCTAAAGAACGTCAGTTATATTTGTTGAATTCAAGGAAATGTTTTGCATAACTGAGCTGATGATATCACTTTATATATCATATTCTTCTCATAAAATTATGATGTTTTCACGTGAAATTGAAAATGCAAAATTAGATGGTGAAATATTTTTTGTCATCCCAATCCCGATTGAATTTTCTTTACACTATTTATTGACTAATATTTTTGTCACTTTAATTTTAAAATTCCAATAATAGAAAAAATAATTATTCCATTTTTGACTTATTTTAAATTAAATGTAATTTATTAAAGTTATGTAGAACTTAATCATTCAATCTAGTGCAAATTATATATAAATTCCTGGATCTGCACCTGACATCTATTTGTTTTTTGATAAGATTTTTACAGATAATTAATCCATTAATCAAGATTTATCAAGATCAACATTGTTTGCTGCATTGCCAAGTGAAAATGAATATATCTTATTTAATTCTGACATGTTTTTAATATTTTTAAAATATTTTTCTGACAGATATGAGAAAGACAAATACTTACAGGGATTGGCATCAACATACTCTCAAAGTCACAGACCTGAAATAGTGTCACATATACAGCCTATCTCTTCATCTACAAAGCCACTAACAGATTCTTACCTGTAAGTCTGATCATTATCATCTTGAAGATGTACATGTACATGTGCGCATAAAGCCCCCCCCCCCCACCCCCCCCCTTCCTTGGGATTTTCAGAGTGTAAAATAATGAAAAATGAAACAAGGTAAAGCCTGAGGGATAAATTTACCTAATTCACAATTGAGAACATCCTCACAATGTCAGGATTGGTGAGTTGACTTAATGTGGCTGTGGGACCTTTGACAAACTTCATTTGTTTGTATGAGGGCTTTCATAAGTTGACATAAAATGTAAAAGAAACTAAGAAAGTAAGCAGTTGATACCCCAATCCCTATATTATAGGTTATTTGCCCTGAAAGGCTTAATGTGATTGCCGGAGAGAGAGTTTGTCAGGGGTCTTATGACTACATGTAGATTCATGACCCCTGACATTGTGAAGATCCATTTTAAGGGTTACTGATTTTTTTATTTAATCTATAAAGCATATATAGCAAGTTATCTGTGATTATAATGGTAATAAAGATATACATGTATAAGTGCCTACTGTGTGATATAACAGTCTCTGATGATAATTTCTGTAGAGTGACAGTGTCTTCCCTTTGTTATTACCCCCATAAACTCGAAATGATTAAGCTATTCCTCATACCCTTTTCACCATTATCCATTTATCCTGATAAAACTTGGCATGTAGATCTTTCAATGAATTGTATGCTCTTCCAAGCTAAAATGCTTACATGGACATGCATGTACCTACACACGTGTAAACTTGTGATAGAAAAAAAGAAGAGTTTTTTAAAGATTAAAACAGAATGAGAAGGAAAAGCCTAGATTCATCACATCATGCAGAATTTTATATATGATATATTTCATCATGATTTTGAAATACTTTTCATGTGAAAATTTAGCAGACTTGAAGATTATGTATACATATATATCTTTTTAGAAGAGTAAATGAACAGACATCTGGCCTTGAGAGCTCAGTACAAGGCAAGCTCCGAACAAGTTTTAATAGTACGTCCCTATCAAGTTCTAAAGGTACATCTCTATCAAGTTCCAGCAGTATGTCTCTATCAAGTTCTAAAGGTACGTCTCTATCAAGTTCTAAAGGTACATTTTTATCAAGTTCTAAGGGTATGTCTCTATCAAGTTCTAAGGGTATGTCTCTATCAAGTTCTAACAGTATGTCTCTATCAAGTTCTAAAGGTATGTCTCTATCAAGTTCTAACAGTATGTCTCTATCAAGTTCTAAAGGTATGTCTCTATCAAGTTCTAACAGTATGTCTCTATCAAGTTCTAAGGGTATGTCTCTATCAAGTTCTAACAGTACGTCTCTATAAAGTTCTAAAGGTACGTCTCTATAAAGTTCTAAGGGTATGTCTCTATCAAGTTCCCTATCAAGTTCTAAAGTTACGTCCCTATCAAGTTCTTAGACGTACCCTTAGAACTTGATAGGGACATAACTTGATAGGGATGTTCTAAGGGTACACCCCTATCAAGTTTTATGTAGACTTGAGGCAGCTTTGATAGTTCTTACTGCACTTTTGTTAAGATTTTTCTCTTTTTCTTCCGAAGCTTGAAAATGGAAAAGATATTGAATGGGAAAACTGCTCACTATATTGGAAAATCCTTAGCACTAAGGGAAAAAATCTTTAACTTATGATTTATGAAAATTACATCTCGTGAATAAAAAATAAAACACTTCTGTATTTGTACAAAAATAAGATCTCTAAATATAACATTGATCACCTGTAGTTACATCTCTGAATCTTGAAGAACCTTTAATGTCACAATGAAGTATTTTCATGTGGTTATCCCACCTATTCCTCCAGCCTGTAGTAAATAACCGGAATAAAAAATTGCGTAGGAATATTGTATTATTATCATTGTTATTTATATATGGGTTTTGTATAGAAATTGAATGTATGCATTTGGAGGATTATCCTGGGTGAAGAATTCCTCGATATTCTTTTTTAGCTCACCTGAGCCAAAGTGGAGAAAATTACAAATTAGTGAAAAATTTATGGCATCTTTTAGAAATCTTCTTCTCAAGAACCGCTGGACCAGGAAAGATGAAACTTACGTTGAAACATCCATAGGTAGTCTGCAGTGAGGTAGTGTAGATTCAATTTTGTTTAAATCATGACCCCTAGGGGTAGGTTGGGCAATCAAAATTTTACAAAGGAATACATAGGAAATCTTCTTCTCAAGAACAGCAAAGCCATGATTGCTCATATTTATATGGAAGCATCCTCAGGTAGTGTGGATTCAAGTTTATTCAAATCATGACCCCTAGAGGTAGGGTGGGATCACAATGGGCAATCAGAGTTTTACATAGGAATACATAGGAAAAATCTTTAAAAACCTTCTTCTTAAGAACAGCAAAGCCATGATTAGTCATATTTAAATGGAAGCATCCTCAGTTAGTGTAGATTCAAGTTTATTCAAATCATGTCCGACAGGTGTAGGTCTGGGCCACAATGGAAGATAAAACTTTAAAGAACAAATCTTGAAAATTTTTCCAAGCCATCAGTCAAAGAAATATGGAAGAATCCTCAGTTAGTGTAAATTCAAGTTTGTTTGAATCATTCCCCCTCTTCCCTGGGGTAATAGGTCAGGACCACACATTTAAATTTTTCAATGCTGAACAGATTTCTTTTTTCTAGCCAAAATGCTCAGGTGAGTGGTGTGGCCCATGGGCGTCTTGTTTTTTAATTTCACAGTTGAAGAACCATCATTAGATTCTGAAGAAATAAGCAATGACATTACTCTTCAATTAGAAGGTAAGGGGGATTATTCTTTACAAGATTTCTATACCTTTCCAGTGATTCTAATTAATATGTTGTGATACTTTGATCATATACACTTGAATCCTTGATGCATCTTTGTTATGTGTATCTATTCAGCAATATTGTCAGCAAGCTTTGTATCTCTTCTGCAGGGGTTGAAGGGGGGGGGGGTTGATCTGCACATTTAGGACAATTTTTGTTTATATAACTTTATACTGACACATGCTTTTTTACACTATGTCTTTCTTTAATTTTAAAGTTATTTTGTATTTGACAGTTGATGATGGGGCAGAGTCTATAGATGATGATGATTCCAGTACCATCAGTCACCTTGACCCTGATGATGTAAGTGTTAACTGTATTAATTTAATATGACAGAACTTTTTTAAAATTTTATTATTTTACATTTATCTGTAAACTTTAAGTCTCTGGGTTTTGTATGTTTAGACATTATAATAATATTACATGTTTTTTAGGGTAAAATGTGAAATTGTGAAAGGCTTTGAAATATTTTTTTTTGTTATACTGAATTTATTTAGAATACAGTGTATTCTTACGAAATGCATTCAGTATAACAAAAAAAGCCACAGTGAACCATGCGCACAGATTCTATGCAATTAACAATTTTTCTACTGTTACCCGTCGTCATGCATTTTCAACCATTACTCCAAAGGGCATGGTTTGGGCATGCAATAGTGTAATATTACTTTTTAACAAATGTTTTTAAACCAATCAAATTTGACTATTTAGGCCAAATAAAAAAAATTGTGTGGTTCCGGAACCACACATATTTTTTTATTTGGCCTTAACATGAAAGTATAACAAATGTTCATATATAATTTGCACAAACTTCATTATTTTTTTTTATTCAAATTTGATCAGAATCATTAAAAAATAAACAAATAAATAATTTGAAATTATTATTACCATATTATGAAAAAAATAACAAATTTTAAATGTTTAACATGTCTTTTATAAACAAAATTTACTTTGTACACAATATTTCTAATCCTTTAGGAAATGGATATAAAAGAAGAACCTGACTCTGAGGATTACACACCACAAAACTCTAGATCCGTCCCTCATTCAGATAGCAGCCCCGTCCACCCTGTAACTAGTAAATGTATTGAGTCGGGGGGAGATAATCTCTCCCACATAATCACAAAAGTGAAACAAGAACCTGTTGACAGTTATTCTGATTGTCTGGATTCTGTGATACCAAGTGATATAATTGAAAAAACCACGGAGGTACTAGAAACAATAAAAACAGAACCAGATAGCAAGTCCGAGAGTGACACCAGGGGACCGAGGACTTCTAGTGCTAAACCAACTCGATCAATTTTTCCGTTTGTCAGTATACAGAAAGTTCCTCAAAACAATGTGATGTTTGCACAACAGTTTTTTAAGTCGGTGATTCCTAGTGCTAATGTTGTATCTTCAGCACTACCTCTAACAGTAAACCCAGACTCAGGTGGAAATAAGATGTCTTTCCCATTAAAGGTGGTAGAAGCTGGACCTTCTTTACATCTAGAAAACACTTCTTTACCTCAAACAATGAATGTCAATCCACAGAAACTAACCCCAACATCTGTTGCAATGGCAGCTAACTTTACAGTGTTACCAAATTTAGTTCAGAATAGTTTTATATCACCACAACCTTTGATTGTTTCTCCAGCACAAACTGTTCAGTTGCTGACAGGCAGTCCGCAGGTTACAACAGGAAAACAGCAGGTGTCAACAGGAGCACAACAGCCTACAACAGGAGCTCTGCAACGTACAATAGGAGCACTACAGCCTACAATAGGAGGACATCAGCCTACAATAGGAGGACATCAGCATACAATAGGAGCTCTGCAGGCTACAGTAGGACAGCAACCTACAATAGCAGCTCTGCAGCCTACAATTGGAGTACAGCAACTTACAGTAGAAGTACAACAGCCTATATTGGGATTGCAACAGATGATTTCTCCAAAAGAAGAGGAGCTTATTAATAAAATTTATAAAGAGGAAGACAAGAAGGTTGATTTTTTTCTTCAAAGCTATATGATATCATAAATTCACTTCATCTATCCAATTCAAACTTTTAAATGTAAATTTTAAAGGTGCAAGTTAAAGTGATCACTAACAGTCTATGATGCCTTTAGATTACTACTGTCACCGTATTCTGTTAAGTAGTACGTTCTTTATGTATAATCAGTTCAAATTGTTTTTTTTCTCAGTCTGCAGAGGAAAGTTTAGGCAATGGGGGATCACTGAAGAGGTCACTGACAGAGAAAGATGATGGGCAGGGCACCAGTAAAAGGTTTGCCCTTACTGCCATGAAGGAAACACAGAAAGAAGACGGTGATCAGTCCAGGACATGTCATAATGTTAGTAAGTGAATTAAAAACATATCTTTTTTTTTTTAATTATGCTACAATTTTATATTGCAGAATTATTCAAATCAGGTTTAGAAATTGATATAAATTATAATATGTCAGTGGAATCATACATGTAAAAACAAGAAGCATATCCCTGTTGTGTTGATTCTAAGATCCTTACATTTAATGTCAGCAAGGACATGGAGTCAGGTTTTTAATAGAAATTAAGAAGGGGAAAATTTTTATAACCTTCTAAAGAACAGCAGGGTCAAGATTACTCAGATGAGCATTGTAGCCCATGGGCCTCTTGAACATAGAATATGAGTAAAGCATAGTTTTTGCACTCAGCATGCAGGATGGATTTTTAAAAAAAATTTTTTTGCTTGCAGTATCCATAGATATGACTGTTCAGGGTATCTGAGTAAACTTAAATAACCTGTTATTGCCTGATAACCTTTTGCTATCTGTTATTGCCTGTTGCTGTGCAACATGTGTTCTGTTTTAACATTTAGGTATTTTCAGCTTCTCTGGAACCACTGAACCAATTTCAAAAAAATTTGGCATATAGAATCTAAGGGTGAAGGAGAACATTTTTTTTGAAATTCCTAGACCCTGCCCCAGCCCCTTAGGCCTTGGGGGTTGGGCTAAAACCATCAAAATTAATGCAATCTTTAAAACTGTCTTCTTTACTCCTGGACATAAAGCAGTCAAACTATTGTCATGATTGTAATAAGCATTGCATTACCAAAACTGTGAAATTCATGGAATCAGGGTCAGGGTTTCTGGTGCTAGGGTGTGGTTCTGTTGCTTATATAGTGAAAATGCTTTATTTATTCAGAAATTTTCTCCTCTGTTCCTGGGTATTAAACAAACAAAACTAAATGCATTGTTGTGATGAGCAAGGATGCCTCTTCCAAAATTATGAATTTCATGGCCCCTGTGTCAGGGGTTCTGATGTTGGGGGGGGGGGGTCATAGCTGATTATATAGTGAAAATGCATTAGTTATTTTAAAATCTTCTTCTCTGCTCCTGGGTATTAAGCCAACAAACTTAGTGGATGATTGTGATAAGCAAAGATGCCTCTTCCAGAATTGTATATTTTATGGCCCCTGGATCAGGGATTCTTTTGGGGGAGGGCTTATTCATTATGTTCTGAAAATGAATTATTGCTTTAAAAATCTTCTCCTCTGCTCCTTGGAATCAAGCAAACAAACTAAATGCATAGTTATGATGAGCAAGGGTGCCTTGCTGTAGAGGAACATAATAAAAGTGAATGTTTGGTTTAAATGAGTTAAAGTTTGCTCAAAATCAGATTCTTGCCTGTAAAGCAATATAAAAGATTGATATAAAGATAATTTATGTAGCAAACTGGCTAATTGTACATAGTGTGTATACTGTACCTGTGGTGTCCTGTTTTAAAATGGATGGCTGTTTTCAGGTAAAGTCATAGAGACAATAGTCTAGTTAGTAAGAGATTGCATAAAGTTGTTTTACACTTTATCAAAGTGACTAAGTGATCACAGAGTGCAAGGGTGACTAGGGGACATGTTGTAGTTTGTGACAAATGGCAAAGAGGCACATTGTTAAGCGAAGTGGTGAGTGCTGGTATAAAAATTATTTCCAAGTCATTTGTATAGCCAAGAGGCAAGTGTTGGTACCAAGTGTTACCAAGTTGCAAGCAGCTAAGATGTTTGTGTAGCCAAGAGACATCACCTCGAGTAAATATACAGGCATTAGAGATTTGTCTTTGTGTACTTAATTTGGCAAGTTACCAGTATATATTGAATACCTTACACATTAGGCAATTATCCATTGTATTTGTATATTTTGCATTCATTATCATCCTTGTAAGAATTTGGCAAACAAAGTACGATCCCAAGGTCTCACATGTACATCGGGCAAGGGTTGTTTTTTTTTTTACCAGATTTTTGAAATTCTTTGGCATGATAGCTTCATGTGTCAATCAATTTTGTTTTATACTTCTGTGGATCATTTAGTAATACAGTGTTGTATTGTACTCAGGTGACCATTAAGGCCCATGGGCTTCATGTTTAAGTGAACGCACAATGGTGAATGTACAACAATCCTATGATGTAAATGGAATATCCAGTTTCTATATTATTACAAACAAGAGAGGATGGGGTAAGCCCCTCCTCCCACTTTTCAGCCCTTGGATATTGTACATCTATGCATCTCTCTGTTTCTTCTGTAAATAAAAATAAATAAAATGGAAATTTTGTATTTGTCCATCTTAACTTCAATGTAAATTCTAATTTTATAGGTGGGAAGCTTGAGGATCCTGGAGAGTCATCCCCCAGAGACCTCTACAGGGCACTTCAAAAGTATATCACAGGAGGAAATCAAAAGTCTCCAAGAAGTAAACCAGACTAAAAGTGCTACACTGTTCATTGTCTTAGGGCCACCACCCTCTCGACTATGAATTAATCGGTCTTAGAAAATCGTCATTATGTATACTGGCGGTCATGACTAAAGCCTATATATACATGACTGTGATAATGAAGATGTCAGTACCTATTGATTGGCATGTTCCCATTGGACAGATACTACATGTACTTGTATTGGGTGTTTTACCAGAGGTGGACAGGTACTACCTGAACTCGTTCATTGTGAATTCTAGTGAATCATCCTGATATATTGGAATGATAAAGGATGCTAAGATTGCGCTAACTGGCAACAATGTGATCAAATTACATTCTACATTGTTCAATTTACATTGTTCAAATTGACCACTCCTTTCTCAGCTGTGATAGGTCTTCTTAAAGGCTTGTAGTCTTTAATAGATGTGAATAGCAGATGTACATGTAGCCAATGAAAAAAGTTGTCATATTTACAGATCTTTCTAGCCATATTCAGTTTGTTGCAATAAATATATTAATATGTTGATATGTTTTTTTTATTATTATTATTTGTGTGCACCATTAAAACTTATAAAAAAAATATTAGACTGAAATATTTCTGAAGTAAAAATGTCATTTTCTCAGAAATGTTAATATTAAGAAGTTTTAGGGGGCAACCAATTGATTCGAAGAAGGGGGGAGTCAGATTATTTATTTTCATAGCAGTCAAGGACAGATTATTTATTTTCATAGCAGTCAAGGACAGATTATTTTTTTTTCAATTTCACGTGTAAATTTGGGGAGCAGTTGGGATAAAATTTTATGATCGTTCAAAAAATTGACTTGGATACATTAATGTGTTAAAAAACGATCAAGAGAATTTAATGAATGCTAGGTCACAAAAGTACAAAAAAAAAAACCATTGTAACCTTGTTGCTATTTTATTAGTCAAGATAATAAATGAAGAAGGAGATCCAATTGTATTGTGAACAAAGCAATTATATTGTGAACAAAGCAATTGTGTTTACCATAGAATTTGTAAAATGTTGAACATGTTGAATCTAAATGAGATTTTAAAAGATATATACCTTTGTATCATCCACTTGTTTATCAGTAGCCGGTCTCATTTTAGATGTTTTTCATTGAAAGAACATGCACTTGTGTATTGAATCAGTCTTGAGACATAAACCCCATAGTTATGCAGATTAAAATGGTATATTGCTACATAATAAGGGAAGTTAATTGGCGATAGAAAAGTTTAAGTCATCATGTAATAATAAATAAAAAATGAAGTTTAGTATTTAATATGGCATCAACATTAATCAGTATATTTCTCTTGCCATCATTTTCTTAATTGCTACATTGCTGTACCGCTGGAAAATAAGTGAGTTTGGTACTAATATGAAATACTTAATCCAGCAGATGTTTGAATCACAAGACGTATATACAATTTTATTTGTGATGCATGTAATATAAGAAAATCTATGTGACTATATTTGTTTACTGTATGTATGACTTGCGCCACAGATCATGTGTTTTTTTTTGTCAAAATAAATTAAATGAAAAAAATATATATATTTATAAATTATCTCTTTACGAGATCTGAAAAATAAACATCTCAAAAGTTTCTTTTAAATTAGGACTGTCTGCTCATAGTGGTGATTTGTTGGTCAGAAAATGTATTCATATTAACCAGTGTAACACATTTGAATAAAGCCGCGCTTTTCATTACAATATCACGTGATACGGCGAGCATTTAGAACATAAACAAAAAATATGGCGTCGATTCCGAAAAGAAGGCGAGGGAGACCTGTAGACAGTAGATTCACGCCGGAACAAAGGAAAGCAAGAAAGAAGGAGCGACAAATGCAGACCGACAAGGAAAGAATCTACATCGGAGTACACATCACACGGTGGAACTGTCTGAAGAAGGACCTGTGTCTTACACATCATCACGAACTGGCAGGATACCTACTTGACAGGTGTGTGCACATGCATCTAAAACGACCGAGAATTTTAAACTATAACAGAGGCAAACATGTACGTCAACCCATTTAAGGGTGATTTTTTGTATTGTTCTTGGGTCTAACTTTATGCAATCCAGCAATTGTTTAAATCTATTGTTGTTAATTCTTATATGCCTAATTAAATATTTAAATTTCCTTCATCGATCGATTAACTCTCAACTAGTTATAAGTTAAAACCGGTTTTTGAAAGTTTTCTGCAATTACTGCACCGGTTAATTATCTCTAACATACTTCATGTCAAAATTAAGAGTAATAATTAAACTAGAAGAAATCTATCAAAAAATAGAGATTTTTTTTTATTTTCTTTCTTTCTTTTTTTTTGGTAAGCCACAATTTCTCCAAAACTTACGTGGGTGACATTAAACAGAGAATTTACTTTTGATAGGCTAACAAAGTATTTGCATGTAGAAGAATCTAACTCACATCCGGAGAATCAGTGTAATGGGAGGCCAGTATTAGCCTTGACTGGCTTGAGGACACTTTGGCCTGTATTTTGTTATATATACCTAATTGACAGTTTCAACACAGTATAGATATTTCAGTTACTCAATTTTATAAGAATGTATGAACTGTAAACTATGAACACACTTCAATTTTCTTAGAGTATACACACACGATTAAATTATTTGATAGTTTGATAAGATTAAATAGAACTTTTGACACTGAAATTTTCATCAAATGAATGATTATTGACTTATAATTAAAATTATTGATTATCCTTTGGCAAAGGTTTATAATATTTATGTGTTTGGTGTTGTTGAATGACTTTCTTCTAAAAAGACAGACTAAAGTATGTCTGGCTTGGTGTCATTTACTGGCTTGCTGAGCTGAATAATTTTTTTTTTCAGGTATGAGAAGGACAATCACACACAGGAGCTGGTTACAAGACACAATAGACTCAGAAATAAAACAGTGTCACAGCCCAACACTTCATCTACGGAGCCAGTGTCACAGTCCAACACTTCATCTACGGAGCCAGTGTCACAGCCCAACACTTCATCTACGGAGCCAGTGTCACAGTCCAACACTTCATCTACGGAGCCAGTGTCACAGCCCAACACTTCATCTACGGAGCCAGTGTCACAGGCCAACACTTCATCTACGGAGCCAGTGTCACAGTCCAACACTTCATCTACGGAGCCAGTGTCACACCCCAACACTTCATCTATGGAGCCAGTGTTACACTCCGACACTTCATATATGAACCCAGTGGCAGATTCTAAACTGTAAGTTTGATCAAGTTGTAAAAAAAGGGAAGGGGGGGGGGGGTCTGTGAGATAAAAGGAATGTCTAATTCTGGGCAAATAGGTTTTTTAACCACCCTCCCCATCCCCCTTGAAACAAAGATTTGTGTACATAGGAATCGTCTTGTCTGTCTGTTTGTTCATCTAGCTGTCCAGCTCTATTTGTGCAATGTATCTCATCGGGTCTGACTACGTCTTATTAATTTAAAGGAGGAACATTAGAAATTGATATTTCAAATAAAAGATTGCTTAGAACCTGAAGGAGTGTCCTGTCCTTGACTCAAGGTCATTTTATTAAGTTCTAGATCACTTTAAGTTGAGGAAAATGAGTAATTCCTGTCCTGACCATATCTTGCAGTGGAAAAAGAAAAGCCTCATGCTCATCACAAATATTGTAAGTATATAACCTGAGAGATTGTATTGACCTTGGCACAATGTTATTCCAAGGTTACTGGCAGAAAATGTGTATTATTTGTGTCTGGTCTATAATCCCAAGCGGAGTCTAATAAGAAGTCGATACAGGATACAAAGATTGATTATGGCTCAAGGAAGCGTTATGTTCTGACCCAGGGTAATATTCAAAAATTGGCAAGCTCAAGGTCAAGTTTCTCTTGTGTTCATTTTTCATGATTTGTACATAAAGCAAGAGCAGCAAGTTTTTATGATATACATGATACATGTATACACTAACAGACTTACTGATCTTTTATTATGTCAATATGATACATGATATACACTTAGTAAACAGAGTTATTGATCTTTATTAAATCATTATGATACATGATATACACTAAAAGGGTTATTGATTTTTATTAAATCATTATGATACATGATATACACTAACAGGGTTATTGATCTTTTATTATATCAATATGATACATGATATACACTAACAGGGTTATTGATCTTTTATTATATCATTATGATACATGATATACACTAACAGGGTTATTCATCTTTTATTATATCAATATGATACATGATATACTCTAACAGGATTATTTATCTTTTATTAAATCAATATGCTACATGATATACACTTACAGGGTTATTGATCTTTTATTAAATCTTTATGATTAATACAGACAACCATATCTCAAATACCAGGGATACTGCAGATGTACTTTTTTCAGCGTAGGCTGAATTTTTGCTATGTAAGCGGACTCAGTATTTCTGCAGAAATGAAGTTTGTCACAGCATACTTGAAATCCACTAGGAAGACATAATGAAAAATACAAAAAATCGGCATAATTTTCTACCCGAGGATGGAACAGATACTGTAGATTCCTAAATATACGCGAGGAATTAATTATTGCGTAATTACGCGAGAAACACCACTCGCGATATAAAATTACTCACTCTTATTTTTATGGTGCTGAAATCAATGTAAAATCTCTTGACCAACCGTCTACTCGCGAATTATTGTTCTCGCGATTTGACGTCAAAGAGTCATTTCGCGAAAATAAGTACTTGCGAAAAATAAGGAATCTACAGTATTGTGATTCTGCATAAATATTACCCTGTTGGAAAATGTACGTTTACAGAATGCTAAAATGATTTGAGTGCCCAAACCACTTTTATCATATTTTTAATTTTGTTATCTTGAATTTCAGACATCTCACAGGTTAATCTCAGTGTCGTTGAGTTTGGGATGAGGTTTGACTGTATTTACATGTGCACAATTAGCAGAATTAAAGAATGTGTACATGATGTATATTTGTCTTTTGTAGAAGGCACAATGGACAGACAGCTGGCCACGAGAAATCAGAAAGACAGCATGGCAAAGTCTCAAGTTCTGAGTGTAAGTCCCCATCAAGTCTGAGTGTAAGTCTCCATCAAGTTCTGAGTTTAAGTCTCAGTCAAGTTCTGAGTGTAAGTCTCAGTCAAGTTCTGAATGTAAGTCTCCATCAAATTCTGAATGTAAGTCTCCATCAAGTTCTGAATGATGTAAGTCTCAATCAAGTTCTGAATGTAAGTCCCAATCAAGTCTGAGTGTAAGTCTCAATCAAGTTCTGAATGTAAGTCTCAATCAAGTTCTGAGTGTAAGTTCCCATCAAGTCTGAGTGTAAGTCTCAATCAAGTTCTGAATGTAAGTCTCTATCAAGTTCTGAGTATAAGTCCCCATCAAGTATTTAATGTAAGTCCCAATCATGTTCTGAGTGTAAGTCTCAATCAAGTTCTGAGTGTAAGTTCCCATCAAGTTCTGAGTGTAAGTTCCCATCAAGTTCTGAGTGTAAGTTCCTATCAAGTTCTGAGTGTAAGTCCCCATCAAGTTCTTAGTGTACTAAGTCTCCATCAAGTTCTGAGTGTCACTCGGCACACCTCAGCCGATTCGTACCTCATCTAACCTCGGCTGTATCATGTAAACCTCCATTGAATCAGAGCTACTATAAAATGCATACTTTAACCTTTTAACCCCCAGTCCGTGTTATGGTGTTTTGAATCCTGTCGCTTTCCACACATTTTATAAGCAAAATAAATGTGGAATGTAAATATTTTAAATATTAAAAAAATAAATCAAGTAGAAAAGACCGTCTTGAAGTTTAAATATTTCCAGGTGGTCATCCCCCCCCCCCTACAATCACCACACACACACATGCATGCACAAAAATATTGAGTCTGTCAATGAATTGTCAAGTAGTAAAATTACTGTAGGGATATTGTATTTTGTGATTAAAAGATATTACATTATTCATATTTTTGAAGAGTAATTCTTCCTGACATAGTTTTTTAAATGCATTCTTTTCTACTCCAACAGTTGATGATTCATTATTAGCTTCTGAAGAACTCAGCAATGATGTCTCACTGCAGTTAGAAGGTAGGGAATATACATGTCACCTGGTTCACAGGTGTGTGAAAGTCACCAGGTTCACAGATGTGTGAAAGTCACTGGGTTCATAGGTGTGTGAAAGTCACCAGGCTCACAGTTGTGTGAAAGTCACCGGGTTCACAGGTGTTTGTAAGTCACCGGGTTCACAGGTGTGTGAAAGTCACCAAGCTCTCAGGTGTGTGAAAGTCACCGGGTTCACAGGTGTGTGAAAGTCACCAAGCTCTCAGGTGTGTGAATGTCACCGGGTTCACAGGTGTGTGAAATCACCAGGCTCACAGTGTGTGAAAGTCACCAGGTTCACAGGTGTGTGTAAGTCACCGGATTCACAGGTGTGTGAAAGTCACCGGGTTCACAGGTGTGTGTAAGTCACCGGGTTCACAGGTGTGTGAAAGTCACCAGGTTCACAGGTGTGTGTAAGTCACCGGGTTCACAGGTGTGTGAAAGTCACCGGGTTCACAGGTGTGTGTAAGTCACCGGGTTCACAGGTGTGTGAAAGTCACCGGGCTCACAGGTATGTGGAGTTCACAGGTGTGTGAAAGTCATCAGGTTCACAGGTGTGTGAAGTCACCGGGTTCACAGGTGTGTGAAAGTCACCGGGTTCACAGGTGTGTGAAAGTCACCGGGCTCACAGGTGTTTGTAAGTTACCGGGTTCACAGGTGTGTGAAAGTCACCGAGCTCTCAGGTGTGTGAAAGTCACCAGGTTCACAGGTGTGTGAAAGTCACCAGGCTCACAGGTGTGTGAAAGTCCCCGGGTTCACAGGTGTGTGTAAGTCACCGGGTTCACAGGTGTGTGAAAGTCACCGGGCTCACAGTGTGTGAAAGTCACTGGGTTCACAGGTGTGTGAAAGTCAGTCAATAGATTGGGTCTCAATAGCTCAGTGGTTAGAGCGCTGGCAAGGTACGCCAGAAGCCATGGGTCCTGGCTGAGACTTGATTTTTCACCACCTGTGACATTTGGGGCCCAACACATTCCCTAGGAACATGCCATACAGTGTTTCCTTACCTAATAGAATTCGAGGAAGAATTTCTACAAAGAAATATGTCACCGGGTTCACAGGTGCGTGAAAATCAGTCAATATATTAGGTCTCAATAGCTCAGTGGTTAGAGTGCTGGCTCAGTGCGCCAGAGGCCATGAGTTTGAGTCCCAGTTCAGAATTGATTTTTCCCCACCTGTCACATACAAAATTCTTCTAAGACTCTATACCTGTCCTGTGATTATACTTAAGAAATAACTGTCTATTTTTTTGGTTTCTTGATGTGATCAATCGATTGGCTTGCATGATAATTTGCATAAACGCCGAAGATTGGCTTGCGTGATAATTTGCATAAACGCCGAAGGCGTTTATGCATAAAATTATCACGCAAGCCAATCGATTGATCATCGTCATGACACCAAAAAATCTGACAGTTATTCCTTATATTTACATGCTCTTGATTCTGCAAAGTCACGTGCTACAAGCCCTGCTTCTGTCTCTATTTGTCCCGCCCCGCACGTGATTTTTTTTCACCACGCCTTTCGATGAACCAGTAGATTTATGTAGAAATAAAGTATTTTTACTATTTGAAATTTTATCTCTGACAAAGATATTGGAAATGTAAATATTCTCTATTACATTTTCACCATTGAAATATTGTATACGGGGTTATTTTGTCCCCATGTTTTTTTCGCCCTTTCACACTTGGAAACAATTTTGCCCATTTTAAATTTGTCCAGTGACAATTCTGTTTAAGAAATCATACTGTGTTTTTTGAATTTGTCCCGTTTTAAATTTGCTCACCTGTGGGAAGGGCGAAAGGGATGAAAATAAGACGGACCAAAATGTCTCTGTATACAGTACTGTAAATTATCAAAAGTGCAGCAAAACTCAAGATTTCCTTTCCCTCCACAGAGAGTGTTGTAAAAAATATTTCCTAGTCTCTTACAAGAAGATGAGAGTAAAAAAAAATCATCCTTTCAGAGACGTAATTTGCCCAACATTGCTAAAATCCATGTTTACAATTTTCGTTGTCACAATCCTTTAGCTATGACTTCCCAATCGCTCTAGAGACATCACAGCCTACAACACTACGTTACTAAAAGTCAATATAAATGTATTAAACAGAAAATTCGATGTTTTATACACAGGTGAGTTAAGGCTAGGTATAGGCATTTCTATGCAAATAAACTAATTAAAATGCCTAAGGACTATATCTATTATACAGAGAAAGTTAAAACTTATTGTCTAATACATACTTGGTACCCATGACATGAGATAGTCGCCGTACAAGTTATGACATAATATTATGACGTCATTGTTTTTTACTACACAAGATTATAATGGACATCAACAAAACAGCTTTGGCTCAAGGGCATGCTCTATTTTATTAAACTGAAACAACGTGTATTTAGAAGCAAAATATTCCAAGGATTGCTGGTATTGCTGCACAAATATCAATAGCTCAGTTGTATAATTTCTATTTGTAAAGTTTTAAGTTGAATAAGGGTAAAAATTTTCAGTCCAGTGGAAGTTTCCTCAAATTCCGATCAAGTGATAAAATGCCTAGGATTTGTGCAGCACTTTTATTAATCTATAGAATATTCTTCTTAGCATTATACAATTTTTATATGAAAATAAATAGGGTAATCCCTTGTGCTGAAGCTGTTTGCTGATGTGTTTTATTACCTCCAGCAGGTAAAGATCAGTGACGTCATAATGTTTACTGGCTATAACATATCGTTGGTACTAAGTATGCATAAGAGAATAAATTAAAACTTTCTCTGAATAATGAATATACCTCTTATGTGTTTGCATTGGCTCATTTGCATAGAAACACCTATACCTAGCCTTAACTCGCATACATGTAGTAGAATATGGAATTTGTTTCACTTGTGAGACGGGACCTTTAGCTCACCTGGCCCCAAGACCATGAGTCAAAGAAACGTGAGACCAGACAGGCCAATCAAAGTCTAACAAAGAAATTAATAGGAAAAATCATTAAAAATCTTCTTCTCAAAAACATCAAAGTCCTGAGTAGTCATATTTAAATGGATGCATCCTTGGGTGGTGTAAATTCAAGTTTGTTTAAATTATAACACATAGGGATAGGGTGGGGTCACAATGTTTGATCAAAGTTTTACATAATGTACTATACAGGAAAAAATCTTCTTAGGAATATCAAAGCCATGATATGGAAGCATGTATAGAGAGTGTAGATTTCAAATCATGAGTCTCTGGGTTAGGGTTGGGAGGAAATATGCAGTAAGAGTTTTAAATAGGAAATCTGCTGATGAAGAACAGCAGGGCCATAATAACTCAGCTGATCATTGTGGCCCATGGGACTCTTGTTTTATACAATGAAACCTGTCTAATCTGACATGCACAGGGAGACAAATTTTATGTCAGAATAGACAGGATGTCAGGTTGCACAGTGTAAAGAACACAGAAAACTGAAATGAGGGTTGGAATTCACAGTGAAATGGATTGGGCAGGTGTCAAGATTAGACCGTTTTCACAGTATTTCCTTTGTTCTTGCATTAAAATCTCGTGTGGCACTAATGAAATAAATTCCATTTACAAATTTAAGTATTTAATATCCTCTATATATGTGCTGGTCATACTAAATCCTTGACGCATCTTTATAATAAGTATTTGTACCAATTTTTGCATCTTTCCTGCAGGTGGCAATAGTATTGCTAGGACAATACTATTTTAAAAAGAAATCTGTTATGAGGTATACGTGCATGCTTGAACATGCCACATCTCTTACTCTAACAGTAAAGTTATCATGTATTTGACAGTTGATGATGGGGCGGAGTCTCTCTAACTGTAAAGTTATCTTGTATTTGACAGTTGATGATGGGACGGAGTCTCTCTTACTGTAAAGTTATCTTGTATTTGACAGTTGATGATGGGGCGGAGTCTCTATAACTGTAAAGTTATCATGTATTTGACAGTTGATGATGGGGCGGAGTCTCTATAACTGTAAAGTTATCATGTATTTGACAGTTGATGATGGGGCGGAGTCTCTCTAACTGTAAAGTTATCATGTATTTGACAGTTGATGATGGGGCGGAGTCTCTCTAACTGTAAAGTTATCTTGTATTTGACAGTTGATGATGGGGCGGAGTCTCTATAATTGTAAAGCTATCTTGTATTTGACAGTTGATGATGGGGCTAAGTTTCTCTAACTGTAAAGCTATCTTGTATTTGACAGTTGATGATGGGGCGGAGTCTCTCTAATTGTAAAGCTATCTTGTATTTGACAGTTGATGATGGGGCGGAGTCTCTCTAACTGTAAAGTTATCATGTATTTGACAGTTGATGATGGGGCGGAGTCTCTCTAACTGTAAAGTTATCATGTATTTGACAGTTGATGATGGGGCGGAGTCTCTCTAACTGTAAAGTAATCTTGTATTTGACAGTTGATGATGGGGCGGAGTCTCTCTAACTGTAAAGTTATCATGTATTTGACAGTTGATGATGGGGCGGAGTCTCTCTAACTGTAAAGTTATCATGTATTTGACAGTTGATGATGGGGCGGAGTCTCTCTAACTGTAAAGTTATCTTGTATTTGACAGTTGATGATGGGGCTAAGTCTCTCTAACTGTAAAGTTATCTTGTATTTGACAGTTGATGATGGGGCGGAGTCTCTCTAACTGTAAAGTTATCTTGTATTTGACAGTTGATGATGGGGCGGAGTCTCTCTAACTGTAAAGTTATCTTGTATTTGACAGTTGATGATGGGGCGGAGTCTCTATAATTGTAAAGCTATCTTGTATTTGACGGTTGATGATGGGGCTAAGTTTCTCTAACTGTAAAGCTATCTTGTATTTGACAGTTGATGATGGGGCGGAGTCTCTCTAATTGTAAAGCTATCTTGTATTTGACAGTTGATGATGGGGCGGAGTCTCTATAACTGTAAAGTTATCTTGTATTTGACAGTTGATGATGGGGTGGAGTCTCTATAACTGTAAAGTTATCTTGTATTTGACAGTTGATGATGGGGCGGAGTCTCTATAACTGTAAAGTTATCTTGTATTTGACAGTTGATGATGGGGCGCAGTCTCTCCAACTGTAAAGTTATCTTGTATTTGACAGTTGATGATGGGGCAGAGTCTATTGATGATGATGAGTCCGTTGATGATGATTCCAGTACCATTAGTGACCTTGACCCAGAAGGTGTCAGTGTTAAGTATATTTAAAGTACACTTACATATTCACTGTCTTATTATAAAGGGCACAGATAAAGATATTCTTAAAACTTTTGGTAGAATTTCATGTACAGTAAAACACGCTCATAGTGAACACTCTTCTAATGAATGGATGCTTACAGCAAAGCGATTTTCGTTCCCTGTGACTTTAAAATCTATTGTGTATGGTGGCATATTTATGCCATCCAAATATTTTTTTTTTCAACATAAGATATCTGGTCAAGTCAAGATAACTATCACTTCAAGTCAAGATAAGTTGCTGGTTTTGTCGAGATGTACTAACTTCAATCTCATCAAGTCAAGATAAGCTATCACATTTTTTGCAACAGCTATCTCGACAGTGCAGGATTAATCTTGTTTCATGACTAAAATTGGTGCGTTAACAAGTACTGCCTCTTCATAATTGCTGTCACGATAACTGTATACTCAAATATATACATGTATGTATGTATTTATATAAATGACGTGTTACAGGTGTCTCAGTTGTTTTCCAGTGAAACTATGAGGATCTCTTTTATTGAAATTATTTTTCACATTGATCACTGCTATTGAATCAATTTAATTTTTGTATTTGTCTATTGGAGGAATTTAATTTTTTAAAGATAAAATTTTTTGAATATAAACCGTTCCATAAACTCTCTCCGTTAAATATGAAACAAAACAACCCATTTACTTAATTCATAATTTCCATTTTTGGTCTTTTCGTAGTTACTGGCACAGCATAAATAAAAGTCAATCATTTATTACAAACTACTGATAATAAGATAATTATTATAGCCAAGTATTGATCTCTGATAAACAAAAAATAAAAAAATGAATAGCAAATTTATTGAATTAATAATTTCAAATACATGTATTACATGTAAGTAAGTAAAAAGCTGATTGGTTTGGTTCATTCATGTACGTACTTGTATTTTATTTCACTGAAAACAAGGACACAGTATGAACACACACTGGTTCGAACTGAATTCCTTTGAAATTATGCGTGCAATACTTATTAAGGTAACAATTTGATAGAAGATATCCGCCTATTTCAATTAAAAAATGACCGTAACACGTTATCTATTTATATACTAGCATATGTACATGTACATATACAGTTATCATGACTGCAATTATGAAGAGGCAGTACTTGTCAACGCAACATTTTAGTCATGATACATGATAAATTATCTCGTTATGTCGAGATAGCTACCACAACAAAATGTGATAGATTATCTTGACTAGACGAGATAGAAGTTGGTGTATCTCGACAAAAACAGCAAATTTTCTTGATTTGACGAGATAGCCATCTTGACTTGATGCGATATCTTATGTTGACAAAAAATTATTTGGATGGCATAAATATGCCACCATAATTGTGAACTGAACTGATGTAACAAATTACATAAATTTTATAATGAAGCATAATTATCACTCTCTGGTGCTTCTTCATAAGATGTTTTAATGTATTGACCTGAGTATTGCAGAAGGGTTTCAGACACATCATAAAAAACTTGTTCAAAAACTTCTTTTACCTGAAAGTTTATCAAAAGAGCAAAACAAACAAATTGATGTTGTCAGTTCATGATGTAATTATAGAGAAACTTTTTCTAATGTCGAGTATTTATCTGTAAACCATAAGTTGCCGGTCTTTGTGTGTTAAGACAAAATTATGTTAAAATATAATTTGCACAATTTTCTTTATATATCAAAATGAAAAAATGTAAATTATTTGAAAGTATTCTTTTTTTTTTTTTTACCAAATATTATTTACAAATGTTAATTTGCAAGGTGAAAAAACCTTGAAAAGTACACATATTCTAATCCTTTAGGAAATTGATATAAAAGAAGAACCGTACTCTGAGGATTACACACCACAAAACTCTGGATCCATACCTCATTCTGATAGCAGCCCCGTCCACCAGATAACAAGTAAATGTATTGATTCAGGGGGAGATAATCTCTCCCACATAATTACAAAAGTGAAACAAGAACCTGTTGACAATTATTCTGATTGTCTGGATTCTGTGATAACGAGTGATACAAGTGAAAAAACCAGGGAGGTTCTAGAGACTATAAAGACGGAACCAGATAGTACGCCCAAGAGGAACACCAGTGGACCGAGGACTTCTAGTGCGAAACCAACTCCAGCAGTGCATCCGTCAGTCCTTGCACAGAATGTTCCTCAGAATGCTGTGCTGTTTGCACACCGAATTATAAAGACAGTGATACCTACTGCAAATGTGGCCTCTTCAGCACTACCTCTAACAATTAGCACAGGGACAGGGGGAAATAAGATGACTTTCCCATTAAAGGTGGTGAGAGCTGGACAATCTTTATATCTACAGCAGAATTCCCTACCTCAGACACTGATAATGAATCCCCAGAATGGAACACTAGTCAGTCCACAGGAACTAACCTCCCAGACCCCTTCATCTGTTCCGACGGCAGCCAACTTTACAGTGTTACCAAATTTAGTTCAGCATAGTTTCTTATCATCAAAACCTTTTATTGTGTCACCAACCAAAAATGTTCAGTTGCTCACTGGAGGGCAACAGGCATCTACAGGAGGACAGCAAACTTCAGCACACCATCCTACAATAGAAGGACAACAGCCTACAATAGGACTTCAGCAGGCTGCAGCTGGGATGATATCTTCTGAAGACAAACTAATGGATAGAGATCAAAAAGAGAAAGACAAAAAGGTTGGATTTTATTGAAAAGTGATGTATTCAAAATCACCTTGTCTGCCTGATTCAAACATTACATGTAAATTTTAAAGAAGAAGGAAAAAATTGATCAGTTTATGATGTCTTCTACATAATTTTGTCAGCAGATTCTGATCAGAAGCACATAATCAATTAAAATTTAATAAAGTTTAATAAAATTTAAGTATGCAGAGGGAAATGTGCTTAAGAGGGCACTGATGGAGAACTCTGATGGGGCGAGCACCAGTAAAAGGTTTGCTGCTGAAAAAAAAACTCAAGAAGAGAACCAGTCCATGACACTACATAATTATGGTAAAATCTCTCTTTTAGGACTTATACACATAGATCACTATAATGAAATCAGGAAAAAATAAACACTGTAGTGTTTTTCTTTTATATCATAAGTGTATTTACAATTGTCTGCAAAAAAAAAATTATTTTTGAATTTCAGTGAAATAACAGAACAGAATACTAAGATGGAAACTTTGTTTTAGATGCGACATGTGATGATTATCTTGATGAGGGTGAGGAAGATATTCAGTCGGATGCTGATGATTTTGAAAATTTGAGCCACTCTGACAGCAGTGAAATTGGAGAAAACATTTCAAAAATCCCATCAAAGCCGACCACAAGCAAGCGCTCTCAAAGAGAGTTAAATTTATTTCTTCGACAGAAGGCAAACAGATTCAAGAAAAGCACAGATGAAGAAATCAAGAGATTATTTGAGGCTCGTCAAACACCAGGGACCAAGAAAAACACCACCTGGGGTTGTAAAATGATTCAAGGTAAGCCTGATAACTAGGTCAAGGGCAATGATCAAATGATTCAGACTCGTTAAGCAATCCATGCTGTCTTACTTGTTTGCATTTGCTCAAGTCCTAGCCAAATGCAATGAGGAAGCAGGGTTAAATAAACATTACCAGTTGTATTATTAATTTGGAATATTTTACAAATGTAATCTACTTTAGTTGCAATGTAGAAAAAAATAAGTGTCAGATACATTGCTTGATTTTTCTAATGGGGTAAGGACGCTAATTATTGACAACTTACCTGAAAAAAATCTGCTTGCTTCAAATTTCGTCCATTTTCTCAGGTCGGGACCAACCTTTCTATCAGCATTTTCACACTTAATTAAAGTAAAAATTTACATTCAGAAAAAAAGTGTAAGGAAGTTACGGTTGGTGTTGGCAGGATAAAGAACCCTCACTGCTCAATGGCCGTAAATGCTGAGTATAGGTCTAAATTTAAAACCATTCAACAGCATACTTTGACGTCTCTTTTTGAGTGAAAAATTCTCGAACGATACATTAAACAACATAAAATCAATCATTCATTCCTAATCTTTAATTCTGCTAAAAAGACAACCACTTATATAAAGTTCACCCTAAAATATACATGTACCTGAAAAATACATATTCAGCAAACCACTCTCTGTTTTGGCTCAATTACTCCAAGCTGAAGTTTTCCATTTTATCCACAATTCCTTCATTGTTGTCTGTTTTATGAATGGTTCAAGTATGATTAATATACTGTTTCATTATCAATATTTCTACCACAAGCATATGAATATTTTAAGCCAGGATAGGTACTCTGAGACAATATTCACTTGCATCTCTGATATTGTAGATAATAAATTATTACAAGTGAATCTTTTTATACTGAACAAAGAAGAATTAAATTGACAAAATTAAAAATGCATTCTTACAGTGATAAAGTATTTGAATCTTTTATTTAGACTGGAGCAGAGAGAGACGAGGGGAGGAGATCGATTTTGAAACGATTTCAGCAACTCAGCTCAACAAACTGCTGGAAAAATTCTACTGCGAGGCCAGGCCTGAGAAAGATGGCCAAGTTTACCAAAAAAATACATTAAAGAATCTGAGAGCTGCCATAAATAGAAGACTGGGAGATTTAAAGAGAAGTGTAGACATTGTAAAAGACAAGGAATTCAGATCATCCAATGGAGTTTTAGTAGGCTTGCTGAAAGAACGTGCAAGGGAGGGCACAACAGTGTCCACGCAGCACAAAGAAATTATAGAAAAATATGATCTGGAGAAAATATCCATCTACTTTAAACATGCGCTGCTTAACCCAGTCATTCTTAGACAGTGTGTCTACTTTCATCTTGCCATCCATTTCATATGTAAAGCTTCCCAGTTCCATAAAGAGCTGAAGTTGGATTCCTTCACATTCCATGCTGATGACACTGGTGAATATGTAAATCATGAAATTCGACAAAAAGGTGTTAGAAATGCAGAAGTAACCATAGAAAGGCGTATGTACGCAACACATAAAGATACATGTCCTGTAAAAATGTTAAAATTACTTATTGATAAAACAGACAACTGTGCCTCTGCACTTTTTAATAATTACAGAAAAGATGCTGTGTGTCTACCGAGGAGCACTAGTAAATGGTACAAGGATGCCCCCCTGACGCGAAGAACTATTACTGACTTTATGAAAGACATCAGTAAGGGTGCAGACCTTTCTCGTATTTATTCAGGACAATGTTTAAGGGCAACTGCCATTCAGCATCTTACTGATGAAGGTTTTAATGAGGAAGACATAATGTCTATGACTGGCTATAAAAATGGAAAATCTCTGAAGTCCAACAGTAGGAAGCTTTCCTCGTCACAGAAGAAAAACCTTAGCTGCTCTTTATCTAACATTATGAACCCATTAACCAAATGAATAAAAAATATATTTGAATTCTCTCAGTCACGTGATCGGCCACATGAAGCTGGATGTACTGATTTTTAAAGCTATCATGCTGCCATGCTTCTACAACAGGTCTAGCTACGGCAAGTGAAATCCTTAACTCCGCAGATACCAGTATTCTTTCTTGTCCATTTCTATCATGAAACAATGCAATCCAAATCACAGACTTTATAATAACATTATTCCAACATGTGTTCAAGGGACTTGGTTGAAAAAAAAATTCTTTATTGTTCAACTTATATTTTGACTGATTAAAATAATTTATTTTAAATTATGGTAAGACTGTTTCATGGCTCTTTCACCCATGTAATATACAGGTCGATGATACAGGAATTCGTACTCTCACCCCCTAAAAGAACACAAAAGAATCTGAAAATGTGTTTCTTTATTACTGTATTAAAACTCACTTATAAGGTATTCACTAGGACCTCAAATTTACTTCCTTCAAACTGAGATTTATTTCATCCATGGAAGGAAGATAATGAAATATCCTCTACCGGATTTGTAAAACGTTCCTTATAACCTAGATTTCCTTGTAAGCGAATTCTTTATGACTGAGTTTTACTGTAGTATGTAAAACAGGATATGACAGTTGAAATCATTACAGGACAATTGCGAAAGCAGCTAACATTTCGGCAATGTTACATTCATCCTATCATATGTATCGCTACAAATGGAATTCTTAAGTCACCTTAATCACTCAGATATTGGATAGTTAGTGCCTGTTTCAAACGGTGTTAAACTCCTTACTTGAAATGTCTGAATGTTAAAAGATGAAGATAATGAACAATCATCTGTTTCATAAATATAGTAGAAAAACGAATCAGGAACTGGGCAAAAACCCGGAGCCCTGGAAACAATTTCTACTAATTTTAGCATAATTCGTAGAAAATAAATGGGTGGTTTCTGTCTTCCTGTAGCCTGAGTGGTGTGGCGAAAATTATCAATATAAGTGCAGTATTTGAAAAAAATCTTTGCCCCTCGACAACAAGCAGTAAAGCTTTTAGCAAGAATATAGCTTTTATAAAAAAAAAAAAAAAATTGTGAATTTCCTGACCCGGGTCATTTCATGGACATTTGGTAGGTATACTTTGCATTTATATATTTATTATGAGTTCTCTGTTATAAATAAAATTGTGAAATTAATTGCCCCTGAGACCGTGGTTCTGGTGCATGGGTGGGGCCATCCTCATAACATCAGCTAGGGGTCCTTTTGATATGATATATTGAAAACTTTGATACTATAGTAAAGTACAGTTAAGTGGAGTAAATTATATTTCGCATTTTTTGTTTGGGATGCATTGCATAAAAATTTGTTGTCTCGATCTGCACACATCACTGAGCACGGACTGACAATACTAAGGTGAATTGGTTTTGCTTTCTTATATTTCTACTCTGAATTTTCTGAATTATGGTACCGTATTAATATTTTTCATTAACAAACAAACAAAATGTCTAACTTTCTTAAATATTATGGATAAAGTTTACGTTGTGAAAGTGCAAGGATATGTGTCAATCAAACGCGTTCCGTTTCGTACATCAAATAATTTCCAGATAAAAGAAGTTTCGAAATAAGCTTTTATTATATTTCGGCGTGAAATGCTCTAGCAACATATAAGTCATGATAAACTGAATTTTTTTTTTGAAAATATTAACTTCAAATTTGTGCCCAAGCCCTTTTAAATGATTGTTAGCTCTTTCTGTGACTGCGCTTTATCAAAGATATGTGTAAGTGAATCGACCATCTCTACTCTCCTGTTATGGGTCACAAAAAAGGTCGACTTGTTAGCATGGATACGAGCTAATGAGAAAAGTTGTCATGGTTACGTTTCTGTCCAAATTCCGTTTGTCGCAATAAACATCTAATGTCGCCATGCTTATCGTCTGATATCGTGCACGATTTAATGAAGAAAAGTACTTAAATATTTTAAAGAATATTTTGTTTAGAAATGTAAGGATGGGGTGGATCATAGATGTTATCCTTAATAAAAGACTTAATTTGACCTAGATGTTTGTAAAATGATCAAGACAAAAGCAATGGTGCGGGTGTTCAGATGTGTTTCAACTTAGTATGTTAATAGATTTAGTGTAACCGGTACTTAGCTGCTTTTTCCTAATTCTTATACATGTAAATAGTAATGAAATTAAGCTTTAAAAGTATTCATCACATGTACAGAGTATCACATAATATCAGCATTCTTTTCATGAATACGGAAGTTTGGTATTGCTCAATTATGCGGTTTTATTCCAAACAGAACATATAAACAATGTTTTGGAAAACTTACCCTGAAATTGTAGACCAAAATTACGTAATTAGTTAAGGTATTTTAATTATACAAAACATTATGTAATCGCTTAATCAAATAGGCCTCATTCTTATTTATCTTATTAGAACTTCCTGGTCGTTCCCCCAAATAACAAGATAAAGAATTCTTTATTCTGATATGTCAAACATTTATACAATAATTCTTTGGCTTTGCATAGTGCAATGGATCCTGGGTATTGACAACATCTTTTTTGATGTAACTTCTGAAGAAAATGTGCACTCTAATAATTTGTAACATATAAACTACAATACTTTTGGACCACATATAGCTTTAATATCATCAAAGAAGACAAGTTTAGTACATGTAGCTTTTCACGTAATGTCAAATTACAACAAATGTTATAAAATATGTTATAAAAGCACATATTTGTATTTCAACCCTGGTGGATTCAACCTTTGCCGACGTGTTTTATCTATTGTTAATTCCATAATGCAATACGCATGCTAGTCTGTATAGCATAAAATATATGGAGATAATGAACAGTATTAAAACTCAGAAGTCCATTAAACATTACAAAATAGGAGCAGAGCAAACACGGACCCCAAAACATCAGAGGTGGGATCAGGTGCCATGGAGGAGTGAACATCCCCTGCCGACCGGTCACACCCGCCTTGTGCTCCTTGTCATGATCGGGAAATAACGGAAAATCCGTCGACAAGCAAGTTAATTTCTATAGTGTGTAAATCCTACTCTACAACTGTAAAGGTTATGATTAAAATGGATAGCTTACTAGTATTAACTTAATGCAATAGATATAAAGAGAGAAAAAAATCTTTCTGATTTGACTTGTTTTGTCTTGCTTCATATTAAAACTTCATACGCATGCTTCTTGGCATCGATATATCAACGAGGAACAAGAATATTTCATTTTGATTTGCATCAGACGTTTCTCAGACATTTATACAATCATTCTTTTGTTCTGCATGAGATGTCTTTAATGATGAAAGAATACTCCACTGACAAGACATGTCGATAAAATCGTCTGATTAAGTGATAACAATTCAATTCTTATATTCTGTCAGTTAATTTGCCAAAAAGGATAATGGATATAAAAATATAAAACTTAATTTTTACGCAACTATATTGCTCTTAAGACTTAGAGTAATCTTCTTAGCTGTTTTTTTTTTTAAAAACACGTGTCAATTCAATGTTATTTGTTTTTCTACACAAATGATATTCTGAGTAAATTATTTATTTTATAAATATATATTTGTATAAACGCGTTTTGGTTGTGTGTCCGTAAGTTATTATACTAACATAGAGAAAAGAAAGGATTATTTTTAAAGAGCTTAAAAATTTTCTTAGCTTATGCTTTACAGAGGGATTTGAATGGCACACGATGCTTGCATGAATAAAATTGTATGATATTGAGATCAAGTACAATATCTTCATACCTTACTTCTGCATACCCTACTTACCGGGCACGGTAGTTGAGTCGGTAGAGCGCTGGCTCCGTGATCGGGAGGTTGTGAGTTCGAATCTCGGCCGCTACTGACCTAAGTCGATAAAGAATGGGTAGCAACTGTTCCTTCGCCATGCGCTCGTTACTTTGAAGTGAAAGTTGCGGGTCCTTTGGATGAGACCTTAAAAACCGAGGCCCCGTGTCAAGGCAGGCGTTGGCACGATAAAGATCCCTCACTGCTCAATGGCCCTGAGTGCTGAGTAAAGGTCAAAATTTGAAGCCCTTCACCGGTATATAATGACGTCTCTATGTGAGTGAAAAATTCTCGAATGGGACGTTAAACAACATACAATCAAACAGTCATACCCTACTTCAAAATTAAGTGGGCAGAACACTTCCTGAACATTTTCTGAAAAAAGATGGCGAAGATCTATTAAGTTTACTAGTATGCCCTTGCAAAAATGGCGAGAAAATGAGACACCTTGATGTTAATAGTGTCATTTTGTACTCATAACATGGTTCAATTAAATAACATTGAAGATAATAGGGAACTTCTTTTTGAACGCATATCATGCAACTGTTCAGAACGTATACAGCATATTCATTTAGAATGTACTGATTGTACGCCCTTGCTATTGCTTTTTGTTTTATATTGAATGTAGTATTAAAACAAAACTTCTTATTTTGTCTTTCGAAAGTTGAAAACATATTTTGAAAGTATGGAATTAGAGGAGTGGGGTAGGAGAACACGAGAGGTTTGCCTGATATTTTATATTCTATTTTATTAATTTAAGATTCTTCAGGGTAATAAAATAAATATGGACTGTTTAGAAGGGAGATATTACCAATTATGAGGTCTGAGTAGGGTTGTCACCCTCGGGCGTTGTTGACTTTCAAGAATTACAAGAATAATGAGTTCACTTCCAACTTCATTTCCATGGTATACTACAATTCTGTTACATGAGAGAGTATAAGAGGGAAAATTGATTCAGTGTTGACATTTCAGTAAATGTTACTTGACATTATAATATCTTATTGGTGTGATCGTACGTAGTAACTGGAATTGTAACTAATATTCTTGTCCATTGTATTGTTCTTAACTGAAGCTGACATACTGTATTACATGTATACATGCTACTATAATATAATATGTGTCTCTGCTTCCAATTCGCTATAGAAGATTTCATGATTTATATTGACTTGAGAATTCAAAGAAGTTAAATCAATGTTAATGATTTCTTCCAGCTGCTCATCTTTCAAATAAGGATGAACTTTACTAATTAAAAAAAATTATAGAAAAAAGTGTAAGTTTATGTAAGTTTGAATTTCATCTCTCTCGTCCATATTAATATGTTTTTTTTTAACTGTGAAGAGCTAGAATTTGTTTTGCTTAAAATAAGTATGTTTAGCTACTAATTACTTTTTTCCTAATATACGGAAATGCATTCGAATATTGTACTGTAAGATAAAAATATATAAAATGACATGAGGTCACATTTGATACTATTGAGGT